GGTCTGTATTCGTACACTGAGAGATTTGTCAATGGTAAGTACATTTTGTTCAGATAACTGTCATTAGCGATTACGCTCATCATGCTTCTATTTTTCCCCAGGTTTTGGAGCAGGAGCCCCGTGTGCCCACTTGAATGTCAGTGCTGCGATCTGTGTCCATCCATGACAGCATTTGAAGGTCGTTGATAATTGGTCGTGCCTTGGAAGGTAGGCTGAAACTGTATACATAGGTTCGTATTTGATTTTTAAAGTTGAGGCTTAGTTCGTGGTAATGGCATGCTTCTGGTTGGTTTCTTGCCAACTGTGATTACACGCACAACTAGGCATCCTATTCGGCTGATAGCCTCAAGGTGACCTTAAACCTTAATGCATGCATGTTGGGAATGTTCCATTGACGTAAGCTTGTCTGTCACAGTACTTGTTATGGAAGGAAAGCTTGTCGTTTTGTGTGTTTTTATTTCTGTTCGTACTGCTAGGTACCAAGCGCTGATACGCCCAAATGTAGTTTCCAACACACACAAGAATATGGCAGCCCAACTCCCATAGAAATGTATGGAAAAGATGGAACAAGAATTATGTTGCATTTGCTGGCAAATCTGTGTCCTTGCATGTTTCATCTAAATTATGTATGTACTTCATTACTGGTTAGTTTATTGGTATGAATAGTTTTATAATTGGACATGGCACTAATAATTCTACTGTTATATTGTAGTATGTGCCACTAGTCACTTACATGACAAGGACATCCTGAAATCCTGATGAAAATAATTGAAGAAGCTAATTAATTTTATGGGCATTGTCACTGAATAAAGGAAATCCAGCATGAGAAATGACGTTATTTTTTTTGTTCACAGATCATCCAGGACTGGGCTTCCGTTTCAACAGTTGTATTGTATAACCAGGCTGTGTAGGTAACCCAGTGTATTAAGCAGAAAGCTATGGGAAGACTCTGCCAAACATACCATTGCTAACATGGGAAACGGGTTGAACTTGTTCTTACCCCAGAAAGCGTAACAGTTATAGACAGCAATTTTTGCCATATTGTTAAAGAAATTAATCATGAAACTTTCACAGTGGTGTTGACAATGACTTCAATATTGTTACTTACCAAAGAAAAACCGGTGTTATCTTGCTACTTGTACATATGGTATCTTGAAAATGTAATACACAACATGCACGTACTAATCCAACATCCAGATAAAGGAATAGTGTAAAGAAAATCTTGTAAAAATTGTTCTCCACATGTATACATACATATTGTTCACAAATAAAATGAAGTTGTACAAAGCTAGATATTTTACACTTTCAAGTGTAAAATGTCGAGTCTGTTTTTTCTTCCCCAACTTGCTGATGCCATTCTATACCATGGTGTTGAGAATCAAAAAGTCATCAGTTAAACATTATATAATACTTGAAATGGTCAATGATTTGCACATCCCAACATTGGCTAAATGGTTTGAAAATTGTGGTTCACACATTCTTCAAGTGAACAGCTTTTGAAAATTTTATTTTCTGTCAACTTCCTTCCAAATTACTTTTTTATACTGATGCTCTGTGGTCTTTCCAGGTCCTAAATGTCTATTCACTGAAAAAGCTGCTGTTTAAATTTTTTACCTGTCTGACTGTAATATAACACCTGCTCCTTGTTCTTTTAACTCCCCTATCAAATAATTGAGTTGTTACTTGGCATTTCGAGCTACCTCGTGCCTAGCAGTACTGTTTTTCCTTTCATTTTGACAACCGCCTGTCATGAAAGTATTGGCCCGGACACTTATTATTCCAGACCGCCGCTCTATTATAACAAGATCTGCCGACTGTAATTTCATTACATAACCCACAGGCTTTATAAATTCTCAAGTCCTCATGAAATATTGATAAGCCATCAGACAATGTAAAGTGTTATTTGGCCATCCAGCATGTTTTCTACCTCGAAACTCAAAGAATTGTCCTGGAATTACCCGTTAGAGTAGCCTCTTGGCACCAAACATGTATTGGTTACACCGTAACGCAGCAGGGAGGTAAAAATATATCTTCTCCCTGTGCGATGTTGAATCAGTTTAACACATGCGTCAGGTACTGTATCTGTTGCCAGGCAGATGATCCCAATGTATATACCCCGCAGCATGCGATGACTTCTTCCAATAAATCCAGCTGTGTCTGACGTAAAACCAGAAGACTGATGTTCCCATGACATCTCTTTATTGTAATAAGATGGGACGCCCATGATTGCATTAGGGAGCCAAGTGGAGGGCCATTGAACTTTGTCAATGGCTAAATATAGATTGCTGTGGTAGCAACACAGCCAAAGCTGCTGTGTAGAAACAAGTCTGTACCTTTAACCTTCACCACATGAAAGGGTATTACGTGCTCCAATGTCAGCAATTATTTTGTGTTACAAGTATTTGGAGTCTCGTATATTTACTGCAAAACAAAGATTTGGTAATGAGATAGGAGACTGGAAATTAATTTAGCAAATCCAACCTACATAATCAAGTAAATAGACACTGAAAGTAATTTTATGTACAGTGCATTCATCAAAATAAGAAATTGGCTGGAAGATATGATAGGATAATTGAACTGGGAACAAACAGAGTGAAGAATTTCCAGTAGCTTGTCAGTCAAGTGAGAAACACCCACATCTAGGATAAGACCTGTAGTCCAGAAGGCCCGCAAACCACAGAAACAAGCCCGTTAAGTCCGGTCTTGTGTGGTTATGGTGGAATGTCCTGTTTAGATAGTCACATGCCAGGGTTGTACTCAACCTTGTTCAGCAGACCAGCTCAGCCTACGTACATGTTGGGAATTTTTTTCCTGGCACTAGCGCATGCCTTACAGTCTTAGGTATCAGTGTTAGAGGGGTTGTTTGTCGAGTATGTCACGTACATGAAAACATAGTAGGAATAGAATCATAAATGGAACAGAAACATTTCTTTTTAGTTTGTGATTATTTTTCTTTTTTGAGTTGCATATTTTTCATGTTTACTTTCCCCCTCCTAAACCTGATGGGGACATAACAATATGGTAGATTTTGTTTGTCACATAAGAAGGCCACACACCAGGATATGTGTGTGATCTATTTCTGGCAGTGATATTTTCAGTTGTGACCTTGAACTATAGGGCTATTAGCGAGCAAACTTGGGGGTGACTTTTATATCAGCTTACCATTTAATGCTTTGTTTATCAAGAGTAGTTCTAAATATAAACTGGAAGATGACTCAAATGCGAACTTTTAATATTTTTTTTTGTTAGTGTCATCTAAAACGATTTAGTCGGATGATAACTACAAGAAACAGTCCAATTAAATAGATGCAAAGAGACATTTAAGTGTATAGAAGGTAACCACACCTTTGTTACCTTCGCCAAGAAGGTTATGTTTTCAGGGGCGTTCGTGTATGTGTGTGTGTGTGTGTGTGTCTGTCTGTCTGTCTGTCTGTAAACACGATAACTTGAGAAGGCCTTGATGGATTGTCTTGATACTTGGTAGGTGGGTAGGTCTTGATGAGACCTCAAAATGATTAGATTTTGGGCCCCCTAGCGGCTTGTTATGGTACTGCAGCTGAACTTCCGGTTTTGATATCTCATGATCTAGACATGCTATGGTGATGAAATTTGGATGGTAGGTAGCTCTTGTGCTGGGGAAGAAGTGACGTGAGTTTGGGCCCCCTAGCGGCTTGCTCTAGAACTGCAGGGATATATTCTTGAAAATATTCAAAAGGGGATAACTCAAGAACCGATTGACGGATCGTCGTGATTTTTGGTATGTAGGTAGCTTACGCGATGTTTAATATAATTATGTGACAATTATGCAAATATGGATGTAATTTGCATAATTTATGGGGAAATTCTATAAATCAGCTGCATTCCATGATAGGACAATTGAAGCTTGTGACATTGGTAATTGACAATGAGAGAAACACAGGAAGATATTGATTATGTTAATAATGACTTAATTTGCATAATTAATGAGAAAATTTTATAATTATGTAATGATAACTGCCTGGAATTTCATACTTGTGGTATTTGAAAGTTTAGTTGACGTGAACATCATTAAACACAATTTATTCAAATCAGGACCTCATTTGCATAATTTATTAGGAAATGCTAGAATGCATTGTTTGTTAACATATATAAGACTGTCTTTTGGTTGAGATTATGATAGAATGATTAATTCATGAAAATTAGGTTCCTATTTCTTAAATCAGGGGGGAATAATCTAATCTATAATTTGTCAGTCATAAAGTTTAACATCATTTGGCGAAGGTATGAGATCGGGGAACTCTAGTTTAGATATGAACCTGTTTGAGTCAAAGGTAGAAAGCTTGAAGTATCATGTTTTGTCCCGACAGTTCGTGGCTCCAGACCGGGAAAGAATGTGCAGTTGACAGAGAACGAGATCCGCGGCTTGTGTCTGAAGTCGCGGGAAATCTTCCTGAGCCAGCCCATCCTGCTGGAACTGGAGGCTCCGCTCAAGATCTGCGGTAAGAAACAAGATCTGGCTTGTACCATGTGATGTGGTATAGGTCCATTTCTGAGTAGTCAAGTTTTGCCAGGAATCGCTGACTGAAATAAGGGTGTCCAATAATTTTTGGCCTTAAGAAATGCCCTGTTGGCAAGATATTTTTAAGTTTTTCTATTTTCACAGTAAGAGGAGAAAGAAGTATTTTTCTATGTTTTGCCTAATGGAAATGTATGTTCACTGTGTCAAATTCACAATAGAAAGGTCATCTCAAAAACAGTCAGGTGTGTTACTTGTACAAGCAAATGGCTTGCTTCTGTTTGAAAACTTAATGTCTGAATTCTTTTTACCCAGGTGACATTCACGGTCAGTACTACGACTTGCTGCGTCTGTTCGAGTACGGAGGTTTCCCTCCGGAGAGTAACTACCTGTTCCTGGGGGATTACGTGGACCGCGGGAAACAGTCGCTGGAGACCATCTGCCTGCTGCTAGCGTACAAGATCAAGTATCCGGAGAACTTCTTCCTACTCAGAGGCAACCACGAGTGTGCCAGCATCAACCGCATCTACGGATTTTACGATGAGTGTAAGTAGGAAAGCAAGGTGTTGATGAGCACCTTGCAGTAGCTTTATTTAAAGTTGCACATCAGCCTGCTGTTACAGTTTATAGCTGAGATGTACATTGAGATGCATGTAGGTGGGGAAGATTGACAGGCAGATTGACAGGAGTTCAAAAGTTCAGACATAGGATATATCTCTGGCTGCAGCTGAATTTGGAGAATTCAGGCAGCTGAGGAGTGCATGAGGGACCCATGATACTTCCCAATCATTTTAGAGGGATAGGTCTGTTAAGTTGTCACTAGGGGCTTTTCCAGCACAAGTCTGCTAGGTTCAATGTGGGTTTTTCTAATGAAAATTGTATGTTGTTGTTCCCAGGTAAAAGAAGGTACACAATAAAGCTATGGAAGACGTTTACGGACTGTTTCAACTGCCTGCCCATCGCAGCCATCATAGACGAGAAGATCTTCTGTTGTCACGGAGGTGGGTCACAACTCTTTAACCCTTCCCAAGTTGATGGTTGCTGTAACGACTGCAAATGTGCCAAATTGAGTGGCACACAGCAGAAAATTTGATTGTTGTTAAAAGTATTTTCCACCTGTATTTTAGTCCTTGACATACAGACCTGGTTATTGCTGTGAAGAATATGCACGAAACGTCATATCACAGATAATTAGGAAGTAACTTGGATTGTAGTGGCTACTGAAAGAGGTTGAAAGAAATCATATTTTGGACCTTACACATTATTCATGTTGCTTATGAGTCTTGTCACTTGGGTTGTTGCAAGAGTTTCCTTATCATAGTTATCTTCTCGAAGGCTAAGATGCACCTGGTAAGAAACATTCCAAAATGATTTTCAGATTAGGAGGAGAGCTTTTTCTAAAATGTCAATGTTGTTCACTTGTTCTACCCCAGGACTGTCGCCTGACTTGCAATCCATGGAACAGATCCGTCGCATCATGCGGCCGACAGACGTGCCGGACCAGGGCCTGCTGTGCGACCTGTTGTGGTCAGACCCCGACAAGGACGTGATGGGCTGGGGGGAGAACGACCGCGGCGTGTCCTTCACGTTCGGCCCCGAGGTGGTCGCCAAGTTCCTACACAAACATGACCTGGACCTCATATGCAGAGCACATCAGGTGAGCAGTGGGGCCAGCAAGTGATGCATAAAAGTAAAGTACACATGGTACACTCTGCTGATCTAGTGTTGAGTCATGCTAGTAGAGCTGAAAAGTTCAAAGGAAAGCCTCTATAAAATCTACACTTCGTCTTTTTTTTCACATATCAGGAAAGTGCAAGTTGGTGTAAGATATGAGGTTTTTGACCCCATGTACAGTGTTTATAGGTTTTATTGTTGTAGCGCTACTAAGTTTGATATTTCTTCCTACGTCTACAGGTGGTGGAAGACGGTTACGAGTTCTTCGCCAAGCGACAGCTGGTCACGTTGTTCTCAGCCCCCAACTACTGCGGGGAGTTTGACAACGCCGGGGCAATGATGAGCGTAGACGAGACACTCATGTGTTCTTTCCAGGTGAGTTAGTTGTGCCTAGAACTATCTTACCAGTATGGCTGTAACGTCTGGCTTGTTGTACAAAATGCCAACATATCCTATGCATTGGAATAAAAAACACCACAAATTATGATGTACATTTTAAGGAGATAACATTCATGTAGAAAGTTGGAATTAGTTGTCCAGTTAAAACAATTTTGCAGTACAGAAGTAATATTTAGAAATGCAAATTCGTGAAAATAAAACTACTGCCAACATTTTACGTGCCAACATTTTATGTTTTACAGTGCCATTCATGTGCAATAAAGTTGTTTCATTGTTCTTATTTGTATTTTTGTTTTTTCCACAGATCTTGAAACCTGCCGACAAGAAGAAGTTCCCGTACGGTGGCTTGAACGCAGGCCGGCCTGTGACGCCACCCCGCGGCCAGAACAAAAACAAAAGGGCAAAGCATAGACTCCCTCTCCTTTCCCTTTGGCAATATATAGACAACTGCAGTGTAATGTAATGTAAAGTAAGGTCGGGGAGAGAATCATCAGAGGAAGGCAGGCTGAAATTCTGTTGCAGTTGGCCTCTCTAGTAGGTATTCCAGGTAGATGGGTATTGTTGTTAATTTGTGTTAGAGAAGAGACCCATACAAGCCGTCATGTGGCAAGGATTAAAACTAAGGTTAGGGACGAGTACTCCTGTAGAAAAGATACATTTTTCCACAGTCTCAAACACAGTGCAAGAGGAAAAAAAGTATTAGACCCCCCTCCATTTTTTGTTTGAAAAAAAGAACCACCTTGAGAATGGCCCTGGTTTAAGTTTTGTAAGCTTTTCTTATCTGTGTTGTGTTCTTGTCAGTACTAGCTAACTCTAAACTACTTTTCGCTTGCCAGACTCTCTTTCTGTTGCTTTCTTTCTTGCAGTTGTAAAAAGTTTCTGTTCCAAGTTGTCAGGCTTCAAATGAGCTTATCTCGTAGTATCTTAGCAGAGAAGAAATAGCCTAAATGGATGAGTGTTGAGTTAGAATTGATTCTTGAGGATCTAGAAGGGTAGGAAGTTGATTTGGAAGGATGTCTGATGACAGAGGTAGTAGTACAGTCGGCTGTGGAATGTTCCTGAAATGAACAGAGATTGGTACGATGTCAGAGGGTGTGTATGGGGTTTGAGAGGAGCTTGGGATGACTGACTGACTGAATGTATTTTATTTGCTGAAGTGTCATTTAGGTAGTTGAACATTCATTAATAAAGTTTGAAAATGCAGAATTAGCATACTCCCCCATGGAGGGGGGTTCTTTCCCCCTTGACATCAAACCCACACCTCCATGGATTTGTATTGGCCGATGCATTTTAAGACTGGAATGAAGAGATTGTAGGGTAATAGCTGAGAAGAGTGCACTGTATGTTGATTATATATAGGAGCTCAGATTGGTACCCATAGCACTGCATCTGTACATAACATCAGCTCATTTTTGTGTAGCCGATCATCATCACTGTGCTCAGTGTATAGCTATCCCAACTAGACTACATTTGTAATTATGACCGGAGTACATCTAGTGCAGTTTATATATGTCCCATACATGGCCTTGTTCTATTGTCTGTACATTGGTGCAAAAGTAGAAAGCTGTCTTGTAAAACAACCTTGATGGTAGGAAGTCTTCTCTACCCTGTATCCAAAGTGGTACGTCCCGGCTGACCTCTGGACTGCACTCCTTTGGACTGTACCACTCTTGAGCGGGGTGTAGTGTTGCCTTTTCCAGCAACGTTGGATTGGCACTGGATATTGTAAAATGTACAGTCAAAGAGAAACAAGTAGATACACTAGCAGCAGTGTCTAGCACTCAGGATATTAGAACTAAGATTTTCTCCATGTTTGTTAAAACTTGCTTGGCCATTAGGAACCCAATGTATATTCTCTGTTATACTTCGAAGTATCCCCCCAAATCGGCAGGGACAAAGCTATTGTAAGGGTTGATTTCTATTGTAACCTTGATTTTAACCATTTCCTGCCAACGCTTCATTTAGGCAGAGGACTTCTTCATAATGACTTCTAAATCTCCACAAGGCAATTCTTACACTTCTTAAAGTTTCCCAAAGGAAATTCTGCCTGTCATTACCTCAAAACACTGCTCAAATGTCGCTCTCTCGAGAACAACAGGGTATAACAACAATATTTGTCAACCCTTTTAGCTCTGTCTTATGTAAACTTCTGTGCTGACTTGTACAAGTATATATAGTATCTGTTGAAGGACTATTACATATGATAGGTTTTTTGTTTGTTACAATATTGACATGGGGAGGGGCATTATTACCAGCTTTAGGTTCTGCACGTAACACAAGAAAACCAAAATTTTCTTCAGTAAAGGATTTACTTTTCATAAACAATTGAGTAATTTCTTTGCAACCCACAAATGTGTGGAAAGGGAAGGTACATTTACTCTTTTATGGTTTTGTTTGAAGACTTTGTTTTTGTTTTGCTTCCCACTAGCACTGTATGTAAGGCTTTCTTTGACTGAGGGAATGAATTTTAAAAAAGTACGATTACAAACCAAATATTCTGTATTAAGTTGTAAGTAAGTGTTGTATTTCCAACACAGACATTTATGCTTTGTATCACTAGAAGCAAGTACATAACACCAGTACCATACATTGTAATCATTTTATGCGGGTTATATAACACTTTGCAAGAATTTTCGGGATCCAATGTCAACGAAAAATTAAGAACTGGCCCAAATTTCAGGGAAATGATGTATATGTGATGATCAGGCATGTTACACTAGTAGCAGAAACTACATATTGGTAAATGAAAGCGTGACAAAGCTACATAGTCAAAGACCGTTCCACACTTCTGACCTGGAATGGTCTGTACACAGTAGGCTGCTTGGTTTTCCTTCAAAAACTGCATCAATGTTAAACTGAACTTTCTTGTTAAACAATTTCTTTGTGACTCCTTAATGTACGTAGCTATATCATACACAAAAGCATCATCAACTGTCATCTTGTATATAATTTTAGATTCATGAAATTGTACTTGCGTCCTGTTATTGTATTTTTTTGGTGAATTTTGTAATAATGATAGGAATTTTTGAGTCCGGTATTTTCCCTCGATAAAGACACTGATTGTGATGTACTTTGTACCAGCTGTGACCTGGCTCTTTGTATGTTGTCCATGAATGGCAGTTTATTATTAAAGATGTAGTTTTGATACACCAAAAGATGTGTGGAGTAATGATGAGTTCTTTTTATGCTATCTTCCCTGAAAAGTAGCCTTGGTACTATCCATCTTAGTTACATGCACATTTCAATTGAAGGTTATGGACCAGACAACATCGAGAACACTAGCGTAGATGAGTTAACAGAGATTTATTTATTGTATTTCCAAAGGAGATTTTAAGAAAACCTTGAGAACTTAGTGGAAAATGAAAGGCCTTGCTAGGAGGAAAGCACTTGAGAAATGAAAGTTAAGTAGTGTAGGAAATATTATGAACCCAAAGAAAACCTTGTGTTTCGTGGCTTCAGAGTGTTTTGAGCAAACCAAATCGTTTGATCCTGCCGATTTGCTCCTTTGAAACTAAAAGAAGCCTGTCATGCCGAGAGTCGGCCGCTAGATGGGGCTAATAGACCATCACAGCACGGTAACATTACATGCATTTTTGATATGGATCGCTAGATGGGGCTAGTAGACTGTGCTGCGGATTTGGAAGGGTCGATTGCACAGAAGCAATGATAGGTTGAAGATGCAATACTAACTTAGTATGTTATGCTATTAAAATAAATAATATTACTTGAAATTATCGTATATTTATATATTGGTTGGTGTCAATTGGGCACATCAAGTGTAATTTTCATTCAGCTTTGTCTAAAATGAAGAAAGTGTATGTCCCCCAGCTCTGAATAGTCTGTTCCATACAATCAAACCGTAAATGTCTGTTTCGACATCATATTCTCGCTGAAATCACAAAATAAGGTAAGTTATCAAGTCTTTATGTATCAAATTTGATCAACAAACAGTCAAAAATTCACCGAGAACTAAAACTGTCCGTTCTGTGGAAATCAAAATAGTTTGAAACCCGTGTAGCAGTGAAATCGATCGCCGTGTAGTTTCTGTCCTTGTCCGCCATATTTTGATGTGCTGTAACATACAGAAATGGAAAGCCTGCTCCAAAAATGTGGAAGTGAGATAGGAATGGAAAGAATAGATATCGTAGAAAGAAATTTACTTAAACAGCGTACACATAATCATACAAAACATTTCACAAAAGGCCCCAATAGGTATCAAGTGACAATTTTATAATGTTGCAACTTGCATAGAAGATTACAACATGTGTACACAGCGACATAATAATTTGTCAACTTGAACCCATATCGAAGAATGGGTGACCACAATGCCATCAGCCTGGCCAGACAGCCCTTGTTCAGTGAGCAGACCCCAGACCTCAGCAGCTACATAGAGACCATCTACAGGTGCAAGGTCTGCCAGTTTCTTGGCGACACCACCGGGGTGGTGACAGAACACCTGAAGTCCGCTCACTTCTCCCAAAGCCTGGACCACTCCTATGCAGGGGGGCACATGACTGAGGACAGACCCCAGACAGAAAAAGTTTCTGATGACGATTCTGACAGGGAGCCATTTGATGATCACAATGATGAAGACGATATGCCATCAGGTACGGAAATGGATTGTTTGTACATGTAGCACTAAACAGTATGCAAAAAATGTTTCTGTGTGTTTGCTTGTTATTTTCACATATTAGGCATGTATGGCACACTGACTAGAAGTTAGTTCGAAGGTCCGAGAAAGGTTTGAGAAAAATTTATTTCATTTTCTATTTTTAATATCTTTCTTTAAAAAATGGTTCTATTTTTTTCCTCAGGTGTTGCAGCCAGATATGATGATGATTGGTCCACTGAAATGCCGGAAAGTCCTCATGACATCTCTTCGGAATTACTGAAGAAAAAGAAAGTAGGACATCAAACAACCTTGATTTGCACCTAGACTTTAACTTAAAAGTTGCTCAATGAAATAAAGCGTAGACTTACAGCTTACGACTATCTTTTTTTACTTAGAATATGATTAAGCTCTGCACAAGTAACCAATCAATGACCTTCCTTATGTCACTGAGGAAAAGTAGTGGATGCTACTTGAAACATCTGCTGATTTTCAATATGTATCCAGTTGCTTGAGAAACTGTTTTCTTGTGAATGACTTGATCTTTGGCTTGATCAACACAATGCTTAGTTCAAGTTTCTGGGTTTTTTTTTTCAGAATTACAGGTGCAGCACGGCAGGGTGCAGGTTAAGGTTCCCCACCCAGGAGCAGAGGGATCTACACGAGCAGTGCCACCTGCAGGAGGGCGGGGCGTCTGATGGCGCTTTCAGGTGCCCCACCTGTCAGGTAAGATCACCTGGTGCACCTGCTACAGCTGGTCCAACCAGGCCTCAAAATTCCCATCTTAAATTTGAGAACAAAAAGGAAAAAAAATGTCAGAAAAGACCAATGCTAAATGAAATGTCAGTAACATCAGGTATGTTGCCTAACCCCATAAATGAAACAAACTTGGTTAAGACAGCAGATTGCTATCATTACTGTATCATGTTAATGTTGTTCACTAACCAACAATGTTTTTTGAGGACATAACCTATTGAGGATTTCTGCTATGTCTTTTGTTTGCAGGTGGAGGAAGGCACCTGGGAAAACATGATGATTCACCTGGGCTCCCACAGCTGCGTGTTCCACCTGTACTGTGTCGTATGTAACTGTGGCTTCTCCAGGAAAGAGGAACTGGACAGACATCTGGCTGGTGTGGCTGGGTTTCTTTTGGTTTTTAAATTTAACAGATAGTGTGAGCTACAGTCAAACCTGTCCTGCTCAGGACCTGATAAAATCTGGTCAACATGTGGACAGGTGGTCTCTAGAGAAAGTTATCTAAAAACAAGGTCAAATTGGCCAGGTTGTCCTTATGTAGAGTTGACTCGTGCAGATTTGACTGTAATGCATTGTTTGAAGGTCTATATGACAAAGAACGATGCAACAATCCAGAGGAAAACATGCTCTTTGATGTGATATGCACAGTGTCACATATTTTATACTCTCATCAAGTAAAAAGTTTAAGTGTAAAACTGGATCCAGTAACCAGAAACACAACATTTTTCTTAGGTCTAACTGTTCTGTTATTTTTCCCCCTAGCCAAGCATGGTGTCAATCAACCAGACTGGCCTCTGCACTACAAACAGGTGCACACATGGAAATTTCACCACCAGACGCAGAAATTCAGCTGTCTCAAAAAGGACTGCAAGTCATACTTCTTCAACCAGGAAGAACTGGACATCCATAAAAGATGCCATGTTGATAAAAAGACCCACTTCCAATGCTACATCTGTATGCAAGCCGCTACAACCTGGCCTTCTATGAAGTCCCACTTCCTACAGTGTCACGGACAATTTTTGAAGGTCGAGGAAGGTGAAACGTTAGACAATGGAACAGAAGTTGAAGCTGTTGCCAAGCCTTTGTACATCCTGAAGGAATCAGAAGATACAGAGGTGTTAAGAAATGGAAAGCAGGAAAATGGACAGAGCAAAAGTCCTCAGGTCTCGAGACAGCAGCTGTCCTGGTTCTCCTGTACATGGGAAGGCTGCAAGGTCAAGTACAGGACTGAGGAACAGCTGGAGCTTCACAGCCGCTGCCACCTTGTTGAAGGGGACAGCACAGATTTCCAGTGTCCTTTCTGCCAGGCAGGTTTTCTTTCATTCAGTTTACAAATTTTGGGATAAACACAAAGGAATGGAAAGGAAGTTTTTGCAGTGTTTAAATTCATGATGGAACAAAACTGCAGCACAAAATCACATTCACAGATATAATTTTACAGTGAGGAGGCACTGCCAAAACCGCAAAATAAACCGTATTACTTAATTTACTCTTAGGAAGGGAACAAACAAACATTTGAAAGAAAACAAGCTAATTTGTCTTTGTTATTCAGAGAATTTAACGTATAGCAGGATTTCATTAAAATCTATAACTGTTCTTTCCCTGCCGTTGAACCCTTTCTAGACAGGACCAACTGACTGGGAAGCCATGCAGGACCACATAACCCAACACACGGACCTCCTGCACCTGACCTGCGAGGCCTGTAACAAGTCCTTCCCCACCACAGGACAACTGGACAAACACTTCAGCAAACAGCACCTGAACATGAAGGACACCCTGACCTTGGCACAGAAACAGAAGATGGCACGAAGGTCATTCCGCAGAAGGAAGAGGAAGTACAAATGTGAGAACAAGTTCTGTAAGAAGGTTAGAGACACTTGTGGAGACACCTATTTTTGTTACTACGTTTGTGCCTTTTTTCTTTAACCTTGCAATATGTGTGCAAGACAATTTCTCAGAGAAAACCTTTTCTTTCAAAGGAATATTTTTGGATGGAACAGACAATTTCTCAGGAAGAACTTTTCCTTCAAAGGAATATTTTTGGTTGGGGCAGCTGCATTCAAGATTATGTCAATATACAGTCAAAACTGCCTAGGCTACTGATAAAATCTGGTCTACATGTCTGTGGACAGGTGGGCTAGTATACTAATCTAGGTGGTCATTTGTACAGGTTCGACTGTATATATATATATATATATATACACATGTTATTTGAGTGAATAAGCTAACGCACTGACTTGGGATAGTTTGTGGAAAAAGTTTTCTGTCAGTGTTATTTTCTTCGTTTGGTCTTCACCCTTCTTTCTCATTTTTTTCTAGGTTCTCTTCTTCAAAGAGGAGGAGCTACATCTCCATGAGCAGTGTCACGTTGAGAACTCCCCAGACTTCAGGTGTTACGTCCTAGACTGTAGAAAGGCTCAGGATACATTTAAGAGTTGGATAAAACTAAAGGTACTGCCTTGTTCCATGTTGATGGAAAGGTATCTTTGACTGTAATTGCTAACACAAAGGATCAGAATTTTTTATTGTCACCTTACAGACTGGTCTAGGGTAGACATCTTAAAAAGGAGACTGTTAGGTCAATCCCTCCACAAATGTACTTATCGTAATCTCATTAAATAAATAAATGAATGAACTTGACTATAAATAAATAAAAAAATAAATAAATGAATGACATGTACACTAACTTGAGTTAATTTTGATTTACTTTGGGAAAAAAAGGACTGTTTGTTATTGAAGAACAACATTATGCATGACTTGTATTTTACACTTTTCTTCCAGTGTCACTTGGCATCTGCACATAACATTCACATAGCGGCCAGAGATACGTATACCGGTAAACAACCCAACAGACCAAAGAAAGACAACCTTCCCACCATGTGTGAGGTTTGCGGCAAAGTTCTCAGTGGAAGACGTGAGTTAATAAGCTACTACATGTAGATGTCCAGTTCTTGTGTTTTCCATTAATTGGTTTTCAGATTCATGAGGAAGGTACTTACTTAAATTTATCTACTTTTGCAGTGGTTTCATTTTATAGTAGGAGAGAAAATGAGGTTTCTGCAGTGTTTTCAATAGGCAATTAAACTAATTCTATAGTACAGTTGTATTCCTGATAGATAGATAAATAAATTCCTCATTTTATGACTTCGCAATTACTCCTGGTCAACTTTCATTTGTTTGTTCATTCATTCATTCATTCATTCATTCATTCATTCATTCATTCATTCATTGTTCCATTCATTCATGTCTTATAGGTAATCTGAGGAAACACATGAGAGTACATGAGGACCCCCTGAGGTGCCCACAGTGCCCCAAGTTTTCCACCACCCGTCCTCACATGCTGCGGGCACACATGGAGAAACACAGGGGGGAGGGCAGGTACCGCTGTAAGGAGTGTGGCTACTTCGCTCCCATACAGTCTGAACTCAAGAAACACATCCTGTGTGTGCACACTGGTAAGGAGAAATGTCGAAACTGTAGAATTTAATACCAAAGTTCTTAACACAACCACTTGTTTAACTACAGCTGACAGGACTTCACTAGTGATGAATGTGAATGAACATTTAAGGTGTTCTTCCTTCTGTTTTATTCCAGAGGACAGGCCCTACATGTGTGACCTCTGTGGAAAATTCTTCAAGTTTTTGGGTGAGATGATTTTTTTCATTCATTTCCAAAACACACCGAAAACAAAACCTCCATACTAGTACATGGAGGTAACATCTGTATAAAATTCACAAATATCATCTTGCCTCCTTTTAGATACCCGTATCATCAAAATGTATCTCAAATGAAGTGTCCTGTTGCTTAATGTGACAGCCGTTGTCTTTCAGGAAATCTAAACCACCATGTGCAGGTGATTCACTCAGACACTCGGCCTTTTGCCTGTAAGAAGTGTAACTATTCCTCCAAGTCCAAGGAAGGCCTGCTAAGACACAACAAGAGGGTACACTCAGACAACAAGATGTCATGTCCTCACTGTGGCTTCTCTACATGCAACAAGTCTGCTCTTGAGGTTTGTAAAAGCTGAATTTTACTTTCTTTTACAGTTTTTTTGGGGTAATTCTTTGTTCTCTGTTAGAAATGTATGGAAGAGAGGGTTGTACATCATTACATGTGTACATGACATTTTTTGTGCAGAAACACATGGACTTGCACAGTGAAGACCGCCAACACAAGTGCCCCCACTGTACCTACGGCTTCAAGGAGAGCAACGCCCTCAAGAGACATATTGAGGAAGTGCACTCAGGTGAGATGTGCAAACTAGTACGGGTAGGATGGTTTGCAAGAGTGTTGGTCCAATTTCTTCTTCAGAAGTTTTGTTACAATTTTTGCTTCAGAATGATTTCTACCAAAAGGGATGAACTTTCAAGCTAGGAAGTTTTTACTGTGTTCCTCCTTATCACTGAAAATAATGTAAATTGTACAAATGATGCAAATAATTTTTTCATAATCAAGCACGTGTTTTTTTACACCTTTCTTGTTCTCCTCACCACAGAGAAGCCCCTTCACCACTGCAGCAGGTGTAGTTACAGCAGTAGTAACCACATCCGCATGGAGGAGCATGAACTGGCTCATCTGGAGACGACCAGGTACAACTGTGAAATCTGCGACTTCAAGTCCAAGTGGAGGACATCCTTATTCCGACATTATAAGGTACCATAAACCTTGAAACATTTGCATTGATTTTCTTTTTAGTAGTATACCTAATACTGTGAATTCGTGTTTTGTACTACACGTATTTCTAGGTCTCGAAATACTTTTTCTGCACACCTGCACGTAACATTGAAAATTTCCTGCACAAGATAAATTTTACTTGCACCACTTGGAATTTAGGAGGCATGGAACACACTAAAAACTGTTTAGAAACCATTGCCATTAATTATTTCTTTTATACCTCATAATTGATAACAGTCAACGCAGCTAATAAAATTCCAGTTTAAAAAGCATGTTGTTTTTTTTCTGTTGAAAATCCAGACAGTGCACAACATTCAGAAACCCGTGGTGAAGTTAGCCAAGGCATCCCCAGCCTCAGATTCAAACATCCTCCCCTCCCTGGGGTCCGTGCAGATGGGCGTGGCTTCTGAGGAAACCGTGCCGGTGACGTCCACGGGAGAGATAGACGGCGCAACGGCCATCCTGATGGGGCTCGCTTACGGAGCTGCGAGTGCTAGTATTGGTAGTAACATGGAGGAATATGTCGTGAAGACTGTTGACTGGAGTTAATGATCCCTTTGATTTAGTTTGTTGTGTTTTATTTCTATCGAAGGGTCATAAATAAGTTGTTCACATCACAGTTATTTTGCAACAAAAATGACTGAATGATAGTTTAATAAAGAATGTATGAAGACCTTTTGTTGAGAATGTTGGAGGAACTTTTACAAAACAGTTCAAAGGTATTTTGATACAAGTCCAGACATTGGCTGGTTGTACACAAGTCTATTATTGGAACTTTCCAGTATGTAATGTAGCAACCTGTTTTGGTTCCTTTCAGTTATAGGAATGTTGGTTCCTTTAAGTTATAGGAATGTTGCTGTTTATAAATATTAAAGAAGAAAAGAATAACAGCTATTTGTTGCCTTGTACTAGTTTGTGATTTTTCCTTGTTTGTGTCGACCATTGCTTCTTTATTTGTGGTAGATTGTGGTGGCAAGCCTTTTCATTTTCATTGTTTGAAACATTAACATAAATACACATTTTATCTTTTTTTACAAGGGTATAATGTATCAAAATTGACCTGAAAATATTTGACACCGAAATTGCTGATGTCTCTTCCGTGTTGAATATGTAATCTGTTTCAAAGAAATAACCTCGTGTCCTTGGTTCAGCCAGTCAGTCTATCAGGGGTAAATATCCTTGTCTGAGTCTATATAGAGACAATGTATCTATTTAACACTATTTCTGCTATATTCATCATGCAGACATACCGTAGGTCCTTGAATTCACTGGCAGAAGTCATTTATTACTGTCTCAAGGTCAGAAAAAATGAAATTCAAAGTAACGCTACGAGCATGACTTTGTAATGAGGTGATATCTTAGCTCTGAAGTTTTTAGTCTTCAACATCAGAAAGCAAAATTTGACATTTAGTTTTCATCAGAAAGCAAAATTTGACATTAAGTATTGTTCCAATGTCCCTACGATCATATATTTCGATATGGAGCAAATGTAGGTGAACAGGTGTACAAATATCCGGTAAACAAAACTCCCCCGTGCGGGTGAGCGGAGTGGTATCGTCCGTAATTTCCCAGCATGCCGTTGTTTTGGCGCCGTATTTGGCCTGTCAAGGTAGCAGGTCACAGTATTAATGGGCGACCCCCGGGGACGATGACGCGGGTATAGAAAGTAGTGCAGCGAATATTCTTGAAGGCTGGGTAGAAAGCCTGATAAGAGCGTCAGCCAGATGTAAATTGTGCTGTGTGGTGTAGAAATGTATCGGGTTTGAGACTGTATGATTTGATTTGTGAAGGTTTTCCAGTTCGTGTATAAATGCGCCGTATTGTGCAACTGGCTTTCCGGGTGAGTCGGCTGCAGTTCAGGTCACGTCCGTAGGAGGCGATTTCAAAGTGTACGTTACGAGCAGATACGCCGACGGGTATTTTTTGGTTTCTAGATATTTTGTAGTTTGTACCTTCTTCTCAAACATATTCGATTTTCGTATTTGTGAAGTGCACCCTGCTATAATTTTTACCGCGTCGAAGTGAGTCATCTTGGGGTCCTTAACTATAGAAATCCCCATAGGGCGAAAACTGTGTTCTGCTACCTTCAATAGACACGGGAATTGGCCATTAATTCCAAGCAGCGGTATTTTCGACCAAATTTTCTTGGTATACCAAGTACTGACGTAGACTCACTTGAAATGTACCAGTTTGTTTCACCGTCAGACCCCCGTTGCCATGGCAACGGCCCGCTATGACCGCCGCCTATGCTTAACTATAGGACTTAGTAGGGAAGTGCCACCGCCCCGAAGCCGCGTTCACCCCCCCCCCTTTTTGCCGTAACAAGCCTTACACTAAGTAAAAATCACTCTAAATGATAGAGTAGGCACTGATGATCATTGTTAACAAGAAAGAGAGGGCCAGAATAGTACATTTTATTGGATAATGGGACCACTAAATGGCCCCTCGTACGGGCCTTGGACGGGCCCTAGCCCTATGGCAGGTGCCGAAGTGCAAAGTTGGCAATATCTCAGCAACCGTTTGGAGTTGTGAACTAAAATTTGGCCAGGTTTCGCATCTTGTCTAGTTTTGTCGACTGAGCGAAAGAAAATCCAAGGTCAAGTTGGTTCAAGGTAGCAGGTCACAGTATTAATGGGCGACCCCCGGGGACGATGACGCGGGTATAGAAAGTAGTGCAGCGAATATTCTTGAAGGCTGGGTAGAAAGCCTGATAAGAGCGTCAGCCAGATGTAAATTGTGCTGTGTGGTGTAGAAATGTATCGGGTTTGAGACTGTATGATTTGATTTGTGAAGGTTTTCCAGTTCGTGTATAAATGCGCCGTATTGTGCAACTGGCTTTCCGGGTGAGTCGGCTGCAGTTCAGGTCACGTCCGTAGGAGGCGATTTCAAAGTGTACGTTACGAGCAGATACGCCGACGGGATTTTTTGGTTTCTAGATATTTTGTAGTTTGTACCTTCTTCTCAAACATATTCGATTTTCGTATTTGTGAAGTGCACCCTGCTATAATTTTTACCGCGTCGAAGTGAGTCATCTTGGGGTCCTTAACTATAGAAATCCCCATAGGGCGAAAACTGTGTTCTGCTACCTCAATCACAGCTGGGCGGGTTTTCCAACTGCCGCCCTCCCCATTCTCCTCACCTGGCAAAAGACGCGATCAAGTTTCTCCCGACCCCTCGCGATCTTGTACAAACTAATAAGCGTACGACAGCAAAACAATTAAGGGTCTGAACTATAGGGGATCGGCGTAATTCGTCCACGCGGGAGCCACAGCGGAAGCGGTCACGACTTGGTCGGGAGGAGGAGCCGAGGTGGCCCGAAGGCGTCTGTCGGCTCGCACGTACGTAGCACCTCCGGGATTTATAAGACAACACGGCCACAACGTCTTGAAGTCAGCTTGCTTGAAGTCGGTCGTTGGGGTCGCGGATCCGGTGGTGTCACCGTGTAGCTAAAGAGGTAAGCGATCTTAGCGAACGGGCTAGAGTTTCAGTAATCAGGAAGTGAAGTTACCACGGCACGATTTCGAATGGAACTTGGAAAACCGTGTAGATTTCTCGCTACGTTGGTTTGTTTACCTTCCCGATACTGCACCGTAGTACTCACTGTACTGTGAAATGCGTTGTCTACTAACCCACTTGGACTGTTCAGGATTTAATCCCGGATCCTAGCTATAGGAGCTTTGTATGTCAAAATGCCACAACAGTCACCAATTTTAGCCCAGCATGTCGCCAAAAACACCATGAAAATCCAGTTTTTACGCTTATCACTCAAGCATGTCTTCGGTAGAAAATTATTCTGATGATTATCATGCAAGAGTTCGTGAGGATCGCGAATGTAAATGTGTTTGCCATTACGATAAGTGGTGTTATCATCCAGTTTGTTATCGTGGCAGTCTATTACAGGGGGTTTGATATGATAACCCCAGGGGCTGGTTTGACAACAGGTTATCATATCAACAAAAATAATTAACCCAAGGAGTGAGAGATAGCTGATAAAAAACCAAATTACGTGTGGCTGATCAAAGATTTCCTTTGTTACTACAAACTTTATAAGTTATTAATCCAAGCAGATGTTTGGTGTGTGCTGATAAGATGTTGAATCACCCATTAAAAGTGGTTAGGATAAATTCATTTATTTTGGTGATCACTTACTCTTGCGGGATGGAGGTTTTCAATGGAGTTATAAGGTAATAACCAAAAATAAAAACCACTGAAAATATCAGACGTGCCATCCAAAATGTACTAGTAGTAGTATTGGTACAGTGGCAGTTATGTTACTCATAGACCAATCATATAGATGTCCTACTTTACTTGTACAGTCTTCACACTCCCGTGATTACAAATAGGACGCATTTAGGAGGCATAACATGTCAGCCAAGTACGCAACCGGTAACCGTACCGGACGGGCCTTTATGCCACTTTGCAAGCGCTTCACAGCACTTTCGCACTACAAATAATCGCTGTTGAGTAAGAATGTGTAGAATTTCACCTGTTTAGAACTGTGGGTGTCATGTGGTGAATGGTTTCCCTAAACTTGGGCAGAGCATGACATTTTGGGTCACTGATGCTTTTCTGATCCGATTCAAGCTCGGAAGTGCCTAACATACAATTAGAGTCAAGGTAACAAAGCAAAAATGTGGAATGGTGTGGAACAAACTATATCAGCACGTTGTTTTGGTCAGAAACAATTTATATTATAGTTACTAGTATCATTTTTTCCCCCAGCCAGTCATACCCTATATTGCCAGCAACAGGTTGCAACTCACACGCATGCAATAAAGTTATGTAAACTTAAAGCTATAATAGTATAAAGCTTTTTATGATACCCTTTTTACAAGCCTAATTCCTAGGTCTAGGTGTACTTTTGAATTACAGTGTCAAAGTTGACTAGCCATTTGCAGGGCTTGAAATCTTTTTTTTCCTGTGCAGGTAAATTGAAAATTTCCTGCAGCAGACAAATCTTACCTGCACTACTGAGATTTATACGTAGCAACAGTAAATGTAGCAAGCAAAAATCCACATATACCTACATCTACATGGCCTGGTGCAGGTTAGGTGCAGGTAGACATCAGAAATAGGTGCACAGGTCCAATTTTACCTGCACTAATCTGAATATGCAGGTGGTACTGACAGTATTTCTAGCCTTGTACTTGTCATTCCTGTACTTCACCTTCATCAGACAACTCTCGATTTGCTACATGTACGTCAAAGTCGTTACAGTCGTTACACTGATCACTCACCAATTAAACTGATCCGTCTGCGATCAAACAATAGATGAAAGGAAACTTCGGACAGTGTGACAGCGAAACCTGAACTGCTACCCCCAGAGGACTCATTTTCAACATTGTTCATATGTAAAACTTATAAAGACACTGACACAAAAGGCTTGTTTGAGAAGATTACTTCTTTGATGTACAGGAAAGTGTGAATGAAATGGATACAAGTAGGTGTCTTCAAAATGGGTTTGGCATAAGAAAGGGCAATTTTGTCTTGACCCAATTGTGACAATGTAAAGAAAATGGTCATGCAGTCCAAGGTTAGAAGGATTTTTTGTCATGTTTTATGAATATATCATTGTTTATGGCTTCGATGACCATGTAGGGATGAGCCACGAAGGATTGTATGGGAGGGGGGGTAGTAGATGAAAAAGTTACATCACAAGTAATACTGGAATATCACACTCTATAAAAACTTTTGAGGAGAGAAAAGTACAGATCCTGGTACTAGAAGAAAAAATTATAAGCGTGCTTTGTTGACCTAAAAAAGGACATCATAAAATTCTAACCTTCCGTCTCTCACAAATCCTTGCTATCTGTCCCTGCTACTAGGTTAAAAGTACATTGTAAAAATCCCAACCAAAGTTAGAAAGTTGGCACACCACTTTGGTATGGCAGTTTGTTTACTGTAAACCACGAAATATTTGCAGTTTATTCTTGCAGTGGCTTTGTACCATGAAATCATAACACCACAAATATGTGTTTTCTAATGCCTATTATATGCAGTACATGTACTTCAGAATTGTTTCAGCCACGAACTTTAAACACTGTAAAAAGGTTCTTTTCCTTCCTTTGATAACGTCAAATAACACCATTGCAAAGGTACATGCATTTACAGTGAATAGAAGTTAAAAGTAAAAAGGTAAGAGTTTGCTGATCACTTTAGCTTTCCCTTACTATGTCACGTCTAACACAGGTGTTCAAAGTCATGAGGCCTGCGAACACTGTCATACTTGGAAAGTTGCCAGTTTTACACTTTAACAAGTTCTTTACAGTTACATTCAGACTTTTGTAGTAGGATTATATCTGAAATTTTGCCACTGTTTGCAGTAATGTTGTCAGTTTTAGCCTGGGGCATAGGAACAATGATATAAAAATGTGTGAAAGAATTGCGTGTTACGCAGCTTTTTACCATAATTATACTAGGCTCATAACAGTAGCACTTGTTCAGTAAGGTAAAGTAAAGCTGGCTTACATCTCTCGAGTCCTGTATTTGTTACAAAATGGCTCAACAGCAAGGACATGCATGGTCACAGTGTTGCCATTTAGATTTGTATTATGTAATAAATTTGCCATGTCTGACTTGTATAGAAAATACTGAGTGCAGGAAAAACATTCAGAAGATGTGTGTTCCTGTCTCCAGCATCAAATGTTTCCGGTGTGTGTGTTGTAATACTGGCAACGGTAGAAACATTAAAAAGTCCTCTGAAAAGGACTGTGTTTGCTTGATCATGACGCTAAAAGTTGTTCATCTTGACTAAACGTCATTATGTCAAGACTCTGTCAAAAAGGCATTACAGAGGCAAAAAGGTTATCAAATAAGAACAAACCCATTATGGTGGCCTAACTTTTGTTGGAAATCTTTGCCGTAGGCTTCTGTTTGTAAGCCTTCCAAACACGGGCACAATGATTTGGGGGTGATAACCGTAATGCTTCGGAGGTTTTACAGGGCCACTAGGTAAGACCACGGTGGGTTTGGAATGTTGAAACAGGTCAAACGCGGGAAAGAAAAGGCTTCGGGTGTCGTAGGATGACGAACAAACACCTCGTGTTGACACATTTCCCAGCCCAGCTCTTTCTACGCAAACACAGGTAACGGTTTTTTGCTTTCCTGTGGTCACACCAAAAATTAGCCAAAAATAAGCCAGCGAGGCATTTCGGGTGCAATATTTTACCTCCATGTGGTCATGAATAACCTGTAGCCATGGTAACTGAATAAACAAATGGTAAGATGCCCGGAAGATGCTCGATTTCTTACCATCGTGACCTGAATACTTGAAAACAGTTCACTTGTTGTCTGGGGATCTGTGTAAGGGTCAGTTGTTTACCCATGTGTTCCTCCAACAAACAGACAACAGCAAGAGGAGAGGTTGTGTATTCATTATCCCCTAGATCCATTTGACCATGTCACAGGTGGGTAAATGATGACGTGAAGTATGTGACAAGTTTTAATTAGATTTTGTGCCTTGCAGGGGTCAGCCAGGGGATAGCACTACAGGCCCTCTTCTGAGTAGCTTACTGTCCCAGGGCTATTCCATTGAAATATGAGGGGGGGGGGGCAGTAGGAAGAAAATGTTTCAAAGATAAAGGATGGGTTACTTCTGAGGAACAAAATGGAAGGTAATATCGTTGAGATTTTCCAACTAGGAAATAGCCATCAATTTAGTTTTGTGACAGATTTTAGAATTTCAAGTAAAAAAAATTCAACACAATTTGCATGTCTCCTAAGGCTATTTTCCCTTCTGACACTCATTCCGCAATATGTTTTCAAAATCATCATGAAACCAAATATTTCTGTCCCTTCTGTTTAAGAATCAAAACCATTCCAAAGTCTATCAACAAAATGCTCCAAAAAAGCCGACTTGAAGCCAATTATCCAAAGGCAGGTTGCTAGCAGGTGTTAGCTGCCCCATCAAGCCAGATCATTAGGAGGACACAAATGGTGGCTGTTGATTTGCAGACCTCTTACAGAAACCTGGCCAAAACATCAAAACTAATTGGTAGTTTGTGTCAGCTTTTTTGAAGTTTGTGTTTTTTGTTTTCTATAGAGACCTGTACTCAGCAGGTTAGCTAGTTTTGCTAATAAAGATACAATCAACAGGTGGTTGTCTTTATATTGGTTGAACCGTTCCCTGGATAGAAGCCTCACATAGAAACAGGTTCAATTATATACATGTATTTATCCCTTTGCATTGTCAGTATGAAACTCAACCACTGTTTTTCTTTTAGATTGTACTATCATGTTCAGAGTTGAGGGGTTTTGTTTGAAAATATGGCATTGGAGAATTAAAAACATTTTTAGGGGGCACTTTGATTGGAATGAAAAATAAGTTATGTCATGATAGATATGCTTGGAATCTCTGAGAAATAGTTAATAGTAGTCATAAACTTGTCCAGAGAATGAGATACAATTACAAAAGCCGAAAAAGTTTTGTTGCAGTACCATGGAAAGCCACCAGGGGACCCAAAATCTAATTAATTCTTTGAATGTCCAAGACCTAACCACATTTTCATGACAATCCATCCAAACCACAAAGAAACGCCGCTACAAGTGCTACCAAAACATAACCTTTTAGGCAAAGTTAATATTATAACAACCCACTCTGTTCTATCTAACATCTTTATTGAGTTTGGTCTCCCATTCCAACCCCCATAGTACTGGTCACCACGTAGAACAATAGGTTATCTCTGAAGTGGGCTGTGATAGTATGTGAAGGAATTTGTATCACTAGGATACCACAGTCTCTGTTGCTAATTTTTCAAGAACTTTCCACATTGGAGGAAGACAAGAAACTTTTCTTTTCTGAAATAGGATTATAATTTAATTCCATAATTGATATTTGGTAGACAAGGAAATATATCTTGTAGGTTTAACGTTACAGTTTACTAAACCCAGTCCTGTTACTAGAATTTCCTTTCATTGGTTTCAAATCATCAAAGACTTCTTTTAGATCACAGTCTCTGTTTATAGTTGATGTAATTGTTGAATGTTAAAATATTTGGATCAACCTACTATATGTAAAGGAAATATGTCCCTTTTTAGTTGAACCTCGAAAATGTTCAATGTCAATTTTATTGATTAAGTTATCGTATCGCTTGTATATATACATGTATTATAGTCAACTTCAACATATTCTAAAGTTTGCTTCGTTAATGGCCAACAATTCCATGTGGCTGTTTGTCAAGTTATGGGCGACAGCTCAAATATTGACCCGGGTTTCGACAAACATTTTCTGTCGCTGGGGCTCCGCGGTCGCTGTTAAAGAACGCTTTACTTGACCGATCAGAGGTGATTGTGATGAGGCAAGATACTGGTAATTGAGAGGTCTGTAATTGACAGGTACAGGACATGTCGGTTACGACCCCCTGGTGTACAGTTCATGACCTTGGGTACAGAGGTCATCAATTGTTCATGACCCTTGTAATCAGGATAATTGAGAGGTCTGTAATTGAGTCAGGTCTACAACATGTTGGTTAGGACCCTCAGGTGTATAGGTCATGACCTTGGGTACAGAGGTCATCATGTTCGTGATCCCTGTAATCACAATCACAAGCCTTTTCACCATTAACTTGAAATGCATGACAGGAAGTTTTGAGATTTGGGCAAACCTTTGGAAAACATTGTGACAAATTTAGGTCGTGTCAACTCTGTAAAGATATGCTGGCATTCATCCATGGACAGGTTTATTTGTGTTCAAGGGTGTGCAGGTATTTGAGTTGTTTCGAGCCTGAAGTCTAAAAATGTCATCGCTTCTACCAAAACATAAACATCATACCAATCACACCAAAACAGAAATGCACTTTGATAGATTTTATCTGCATAACAGTTTAGTATTTCAAAGTCAGTCTTTATTTAATGTTGCACTTTGCTATTTGGTGTTGTTACTTTGAAGTTTCAAACATAAGAAAGAGACTCAGATATGGGTATTTCTTCAGTTCTGTTTGTTAGTTACAATGTAAATGTAATATGTAATATTTTGTAACTTGTTGAATGATATTTGCAGATAAGATCAGTGGTCCTGACTAGTACATCTGGTGCCATTAAGTCTGGGTGACTGACAGGGCCGTCAGCTGTGTAATTACCGGTAACTTATTTGCTGGAAGATAAGTCATTCAGTCAATGAAAATGACAGTAATAGCAACTGTTGACCCAGATTTCAGTATTGTTACAAAGCATATAGAATTTTTTATTGTGTATTAGTAGAGTCATAACTCAGACTTGTTGTGAATTAAGTTTTTAATATAATTAATTGTGTTTTCACTTTTTTACAGACTGACGTTCCTAGAGGTTTCCAGGATGATCTAGTGTCTTGAACCACAGTGCTTAAAGAAACTGCAACAAAGAGGTAAGAAGTCTTTTTGGCTATTCTTAAAATGACCAGTGCCTCACCTTATCTACATAACAAGCTTTTGAACTTACCTGCTTTTCTAATTCTATGTTGCTGTCTGACACCTGTTAAGTTTTAAGCCATTAAGTGAATACTTAGTAACCATTGAGAGGGACTAGAGTCAAGGTCAAAAACAGTTCAGAGTAATTCCTGAAGAAAGCATAACAACGATGTAACAACAATTCTCTCAGTCAGTTTGTTTTCATTTTGTTGGGGTTTTCCTTTGTAATTTTCTACAAAAGACAACATGTTCATGTGTGGCATCAGGAAGCTAGACTGAACTAATTTGAACTAATTTCACTGTTACTCCGCTAAGAAATGGATCCCGTGAGCGGCGCAGAAGGGGACGAGGAGTGGAGCGAAAACGACGCGTTGGACAACACCGACGAACTCATTAATCCAGGTTTGTCGCACCGTCTTTATTCTCGCGAGGGCTAAGAGCTCTCAACGGGGATTAGTGAAAAAACAAGGTAATTGTCTGTGGGAAACATTTTCTCTTGTTGTTAGTTTTGACTTCCGAAAGCCAGAACTTGTTTTTTTACTTCAAGTAATTCCAACTCGTCCCAGCTAAGTATGAGCTTAAGTAGAAAAGCAACTTCCAGGTATCACTTTCCCTTTGACTGTTGGTAGAATTTTTATCAGAGAGTGACAAAAGTTCTAAGGGCAGGAGGGTCCACGATTTGTTTTCTTTACGACTTGCACCTTGTCGTTTTTTCTGTTGAGTTGTGCTTGCTCAGTAATGGCACGTGGTTCTGAAAAGACGACAAGCCAACAACGAAACCCAATCCGCCTGTTGGGGGTAGAACAGTGCAGTCGTAACCGGATCCCGTTTCTTTTATTCCCTCTCACTATACATCACAAACGGACAAGAATCCGCAAATACCAGCGTGGAGATTGACCCGTGAGCTTTTGAACAAAGCCGGTGCCTCGAAGCTAATACCTTCTACCGGTCTTGTCAAAGAAATTAAAGAGATTTACATTTTAGAGCAAATTACATGTCACTGCAAGAATAGACGGTCTTTGCCTGGTCGAAATCTAAGATCTCAACTTATAAGTCCCATGGTTCCTTGCTCCGCACATGCTCAGTGCCGCGATGACCTCGTTGACCTTTTCCCACCTTTTTCAAACTGACTCACCAGATTGGTGCTTCCACAAGTGGTAATTAGATGACTTAATGACTCTGGATTAAACATTGTCATCATGAGTAGAAACTACAAGATGTGGATGGGGAGTAGTTCCTACACTTCCAAACTAAAAGACATCCGGAAACTTTCTAGAAGTAAGTGCACTGAGTGGAACTTCCGTGTTTAGTATAAACAGATAATGTTTACAAACTCCGTTACAGTCGGGTTGTACAAGATTATTTAGACAGGGAAAGCAATTATTGGTGATAGCCCTCACGGTAGTGCTACCTGTTACTTGTAATTAAGGTGCAAGCTACTGGAACTGAATGGTCATCTAACAAACCAGGATTGCCTGAGGCAAGTGTTACAAATTGGCGTCAGTTGTAAAAGATTTGAACAGAAAGAGGACGGAAGTTTATTGTAAACCGTTGACAAGCTTTTAGTTCATCAGATACTTGTGGGTTTTCTAGTTGTGTTCTGTAGCTAGTGAACAGTTACTCCTGCTTGCTGTCTAGATTTGGTTGTCCCATCAGTTGTTTGTAAAGGTAAGTGGTAAGGTAAGACTAAAACAGTTTGATTTGAACAGAGTGACTTGAATGTTTCCTTGACAATCTGAGGTGGGCATGTGCCCTACTTACAATGTAAGTCTCTGTCATGCAAAGTTAATTTAAAAGTTAACAAAGTTTAAATCAAGACAGGAGTTAGGGTATAGGATTTTCTTCTAACACAACCAGTAAGGTTCTCACCTGCTTACGTTTCGATGTCTATCAGACACCTTCCTCAGAGCTTCTGACTGGAGTTCTGCAACTCGCCGCTATTTAACCCTAAGTATCTTCCAACCTGATGAAATTATTTACGGAAAGACAGGAGTTTTCAAAAATACTACAGTCGTGTATAAGAAAAAGAAATCTGTGGTTTAATCATGTAACGTTATAGTACTAGTGGTAGTCAACCTAAGAAATCCTTGACCTGTAAACAATGGCAAAGTGGTAACATACCCATTAAATGGTATGCATCGCAATTCACATGAAGTAGTTGTCCACAGGTTACGAGTACTAGTTTGGGTATATTTAGAAATGCATCCAGGAAAAGTAGCCACTGACTAAAAGGCTGTAATGAATGATTGATTTTTTTCCCTAATTGCCAACAATTACTAGTTGTTTTGCAGACATTTCATCTGAACTGAAAGAGATTGATTAATTCTTGACCTATATATGCTAGTTGCCAACACGTAGTAACTGTTTTTTCCAGACATAGCGTCTGAACTGGAAGAGATGGCAGATGAACCAGAGAGTCCCCGCTTCATACCCAAGCTGGACGCAGCAGATCTAATCATGGACGCCATTGACAGGGAGCTGTATGAAGTCATGAGGGTAAGTGCCTTCCATCTGTTTGGTAGCATGTCATCATCATTTGTCACGGTAGGGCATAACTGTAACTTTTGTAAAAAACAAACAAATGATATCATTGCTGCAGCTTTGTATTCAAGGTTAAAAGAACAAAAAGCTAACAGCAATGATTGTTTTCCTTGAAATTTTTCAAAGTTGAAGTAAGCATTGCAGTAAACCATTGTACTAATTTGTAGTAAACATTGACTTACATGTGCTACATTTGCATACTTGGGACAGCTGAAATGAAGCCGTATCCTGAATCTTGCAGGCCAAGCAAAATTTTGTATGGAGATCATCCTGTACCATAATTCATGTTCCAAGCAAGGTCAAAGAGAACATTATCTGGTGTGTGTCAAATTTTTAAAACCCTTTGTTCGTTCTATGAACTATCCCAGATTGATGGTCAAGAAAAAAGACCGAAGAGCCCTTCCAGACCCATGAGTGCCTCCCGGCCAAAGAGTCCGTCCAGAACCTGGAGTCCAGAGAAGGACAGCGGCACGGCCTCCCTGAGAAGCTCGTCTCCCGGTCGGAGGAAACGTCCCGGAAAGACAGAGCGAGAAGTGCTGATGGCCGCTGGCGTGGAGTTCGATACAGGAGACGAGACGACGGCGTCAACAGCTAGAGAAGAAAAACAAGGTACTGTCACAGTTGATTCATTTTCAAAATTTTTCTGTTTTACTTCATACATGTGTGCAAGGGTAACTATATTTATTTCAGTATTACTGTCAAACCTACTCAAGAAGACCACTCAAATCTGGTCTATGCTGACAGATGGTAACTATAGATAGGATTCTTAATGTATCAATGGGAAAAAATATCCAAGGTACTGCTGAAAAGTGGTCACTATGGCCAGGTGGTCTTCATGTAGAGGCAGTTACTATTTACGTCCATTCTATTATCCAACAGTGGTCAGGATGGGAGGCAGTGTGGACACAGGCCTGGGCACAGGCAGTAGTCGCAGTGTTGACCAGGTGGTGTCGTCTGACGAGGTGGAAAACGAGATCCAGAAACAGAGGAGGATCAAGGGAAAGGTGTCCACCTACTCAGATGGGGAGGAGGAGGAGGAGGATCAGTATCAGGACCAGGAAGGTGACTAAGACCTTACCTTACCTGAACTTGCTGCCACCAAGTACAGTTGGGGCATCATCACTAGATAGCTTTAAATTAGTTTTAAAAACTTCTGCTGTTAGATGTTCAAGGGTTGGGTGTAAGAGGTCGTTCTGTGTAATGTAGCTAGCTGCCGCCATGCCAGGTGCCTACAAAGCTGTTGTGTTACACCCACCTATCACGGATTTGACCGACTGTCTTTACTGATGTACGTTAAATTTTGTGACAGTCTTCAAAGAAGTCAGAAGTCATGAACAATCAAGTATCCATACTGTAATTGTAAAATGTTTGCTATTTTTGACAAGTTTGCAAGTTTTCAATAACTCTGGAATTGTGCCATTACAGATACATTGTTGTACGAAACTGCAGAAGCATCCAGAGGAACAGAAACCAGGAACAGATTCAGCAAAGGTACCAACTGACTACTATAATTGTTCCCTTTTTCTCTCTTCAAGTTCCTAACAAGCACCTGTTTCTTATTCCCTTGTTTTATATTTGCAATTTCACCTACAGAAAAGTGATGCTACGAAAGCAAAATTGAAGTCTGGTGAAAAGGTCTGACTTAAGGGATAAATCATTAATTTTTGCATGTTGTTTTTTCTTTGTTTCTTGCACATGTTTGTCAGTTTTTTCAAATCTTCACACTCCCGATCCTTCATGGTTTGTCCCCTATGATCTAAGAGCTATAATGATTATCTATACAGATAAGATATCATAGCTGTAGCAGCGTAATTTGTGGTAAAACATAAGGCATGTGTACAGAATGTCCAACCGTTATATAGATAGCCATCTCAATTTCTCTCTTAGTATCACTGGCATGTAAGTTATAGCTATGTTTTCTATGCTTTGTCTCTTCAAGGATAATTTAGAAAGAGCATTTTTTTTGTGAAGTTCATATAGTTTAATGTGATTGTACTTCTTGTAGGTCTCTGGCAATCAATATACATTTAGCGAATCAGTGTGCAATTAAGACCAATGACTTGAAGTGCAATCTGGGAAACACTTAGTGCATGATCCAAGTCCATTTCTTTATCGTAATTTAATTGAAACGGGAAAAAGCTGCGTGGATGTGATTATCCATCGCACAGAAAGGGTCAGCCGGGAGCATGAACACGCCTTCCTCTCCTTCCCCCCACAGATGAAGATGACAGCTCCCATGAACCTTTGCACCCTTCCCATGATCCCAAGCCTTCCCCAAAGAGCAGCCATGACACTGAATTTTCTGAGCACTCAGGAGAAGAGAAAAATCCCAAACCGGCCCGTGTCAAAAAGTCAAAGGCCAGGGAAATGAGTGATACAGACTCTGTCAGAACTGAAGACTTTGAGAAAAAGTTTCGAGAGATTTCTGGTGGGAATCCTTGGACAAGTCCGTCCTCAAAGCACAATTCTGCCGACTCTGATTCAACAGTCACTGATGGGGAGACAAGAAAGAGTAGGGAAAGCTCAGATAATGAAAAGGGGAAAAAACATGAGAAGCCTGGCATTTGGGACTCGCTCCCCCCACATCTGAGACCATACAGGAAAAACTCAAAGGATACAGACACAAGCTCTGTTGCCACAGAAGATTTTGAGTCAAAATTTAAAGATTCCTTAGTTCTCAGTGATGCAGACAATCAAGCACCTAAAAAGAAAGCACCTCCACAAAATAGACCGGCAAGAGCGGACAGTGGTGCAAGTTCTATCAAAACAGAAGACTTTGAGGAGAAATTCAAGGACATGGTTGTCTCAAGCAATAGCAATCCTGCGGGCTCAGGAACGAAGCAGTCAACTCCTAGCAATAAGTCCAAAAAAGTTGACACTGAACAGAAACAGAGAAGCCCAAGTCCAGGAGCCATGCCTCGCAAGTACCTCTACCTGACCATGAAAGACTTAACATCGACAGACACCGAGTCAAATGTTAGTGAAAGAATGAAAGGAAAAGGTGCCAACAAGAAGGGATCTAGTGACAGTGCCTTCTTTGATTACGACAAGTGGAAGAAGGACTTGGAAGGGGATATTGAGTTTGCGAGGAACGAGGATTCGCTGTGTAAGGATGTTCACGACAGCGGGCATGACGACTTGAACACCAGCGATGACGTGGAATCTATCCACACGTCTGAATCCTGGAGCCCGGAGGGGACAATTCTCCAGAAGACTCCCACAAGGCACTCCAGTCCGATGCCACAACAGGACGACAGGTCTCCTTCTCCCAAGCAACGACCCGGCTCTCCGTCAAGGCGGCCAACTTCGCCCCTTACCAAGCGGCCCCGCTCACCAGAAAAAGACCAACCCAGCAGTCCCGCCAAAGTGCATCCATCCTCCAACAGAATAACCATAGAAGAGGCATGGGAAGTTGATGAGGGCAGCCTGGAAAAACAGGTTCCAAACGGATTCCTAAGTCAGGACGTTGAAGTGAGCCCAAAGAGAGGTGTTCGACACTACTCATCCCCAGATACGAGCAGTTCCTTAGAATATTCCGGTGAGTTGGCAGAAGGAGATGTCGTACCGACCAACGTAATGCCGCAGGAAAGAATCGACATTCTTTCAAAGTACTTGGATAAACAACTGGATAGCATCAACAAGGGGGAGACGGGAGACTCCACTGCTGTAGAAGAGGAGGAAGAGGAGGATAGAGAAGGGGATACGAAGAAACAGGAGGAAAGAGGTGCTTTCAGAACCCCTACATAGTGTCTCTGCTACTGTCCATCTCCTGTCAATCAAGATATTATGGTTTACAATGATGTATGGAGGAGCATTTTATTCCTCATGATTTTTTTCCTACCTAATGCTTCAGTGATTCACTGTCTGTTGAACCAATCATCACAGCATGCATACCCTGTGTGATTTCAGCCTCAGCTGTTTTTTTTCCTTAATTCATTCTTGTGAGGGCAGTGTTGTGCAGTGTTCTACATGTCCAAGTGATGTTACAGACGCTGTCATCATTGTGCCTGTAGGATACTGCCAACAACACTGCCACAGTTGTTTATAAAACAAGAATGGGTTTGATATGGCATTGGTGCCTCAAATGTTCACACTGATTTTATTTCGTACTTTGCGGGTACAGTATTCTCAACAGAAGGGAGATTTTGCATGTTGTGTATTTCCTGGTACAGGTGTGTTGTCTCAGCCTCCGTTGTACCGTGAGGGCTCGTATACAAGTTTGGACACCTGCAGAACAGAGGAATACAACGACAGATTTCGGAGACTCATGGTCAAGTAAGTCAGAAAATAACAGTCATTTAATTTTTTAGTATACCTTTTGGGCAACAACTAAAGATGAAGAAAACAGTTGATGGTGATGATGACTGTGTCTTCTACTTATACTGGTAGATTATTTTTACCTCTTTGTAGGGAGGTTTTGTTTTCGGTTCCTCTGTGTGTCTGTAGTAAGTGAGGGAGAATGATGTAACCACAGACTGGATTGACAGGAAGTAGAGTTCAGTGGTGATAGAATTGTAACCTTATATAGGAGTGACATGAAATAGAGTTCAGAGGTGATTGATATTTTAACCTATGATAAGGTCACAGGGAGGCATTATTTTTGGTAGTCTGTGTTTTCCTAGTTACCAAATTGGTTCTGGCTGTAATGATGATTTACCACAGGGATGATTAAATATCTTTTCTTTTGTGTATACTATTGTTTGAGCATTGATCCATATTCATGAGAACCTGACATGATGACTGTCCCTCCACAGGCAGGTAGCCGGTGTGCCCATCACCAGTTTTGACACCGTCACTGTGGCCAGCGACCTTGACTCTGTCAGGACAGACACAGTTCGTGACAGATTCCAGGAGGTCATCGGAGGAAAAGGTTTGTGTTATTCTCCAGCTTAGGAAGCCATTTTATATTTCAAGTATCAGGCTGGTACTTTAAAAGAAAATCAAAATCAAATGTGCCTTTAATATCTTACAATTTAGTACACTGCAAAAATTCCCATGGAAAAGAATGAGTACCAATCCACATTTTTTTTATCAGCAAAGTAACATTCTTTGTGCAATGCAACATTTTTTGTGTGAATTATTGTAAAACAGCACACCATGCTTATCAAAAAGAGCAGGGGTTCATCCCAGTGTAAGTGGTCAAACCTTACAGTCCAGTCTCACACAGCTTGTACTTACTGTTCAAAACTGGTGTGTTACATGTACATGCAAAGGTAGTTTACTGGTAATATGAGAAAAAACATGCACAATTTGTGTGGGTTGATTGGGCTCTGCTACCCTTTGGTGACTGACTAAATTGTATGAACCATATAGAAACCAATTGTTTGGCCCCCTTTTATATCATAAGAATATTGTGCACTTCTAATAGATGAGCAGCTGGCATAGCCTAATAATCGTGTTGCAGATGAATATGTACAACAGTAACAGGGAAAATGAAAAGGCACTATGCAAGTTATTATTATTACATACTAATGTCATTTTGTATTGTGCTCAACAAGGTCACATGGATTCAAGGTCATGGGGAAGCAACCTTCTACCCAATTTTTTTCCAATTACATTATGCAAATTACTATGGCATCATGAAAATTACATAGATTATTAGAGTTATCTTCTATGTGGTATCACCACATAAAATCCACCCCTTAATTGTTATGAAAAAAATCACTTATAGCTGATACATTCATGACTAAAACGACATCTTGATTTAACCTTTGGTAACACCTCTGTGTAACCTGGTTGGAGTCAAATTCTCAGCTCTGCTTTGAAAGATGATTGCCTTAGAAGTTTCCTGTGGTACACAGTCTCTCACTGCCAGGGGCTTAAACTGTCTGGCGGGCCGTTAGTCTGGTTTCTTTATAAGCTTTGAAGTAAGAACACATACAGTAACTACATGTATGAGTGTTTTGCCATGTATACAGTCATTTCATTCAAACCGTTGGTGAGGACTATGTCTAATTTCAGACTGAGCAATTATGACTGCCAGAAATGTCAAAATTTAACCCTTTTTACAAATTTTTCTTTCTGCTGAATGCCAACCTTTGTTCATATTTTCCCCTTTGAAACACCAGGAGCCAGTTCCAGGGCAACCACTGACTTTGAGCTGAGTGAGGCTGAATCTGAGAGACCAGAGAAAAGGCATGCTGCCAGCAAGAGAGGTGGGGGCTCACTCTCAGTATTCCTAAACATTTACATGTTTTTATCCTGTATTTCTTGCTTGGTTGGTTGTAAAAACAGTAGCCGTAGCAAAGCCGCATTGTTCCATCAGGCCACACCAATTTGATTTGTTGGTTCTCAGATTTTTTCAGGAAAAATATGAAGCAACAGGGCAAAAAAGAATAAAAAATAAAAACAGGCCAAGGCATCCTATGATAGGCCCAATCAAAGGACCTATTGGCGGGCAAATCAAAGAACCAACAAATTAAATTGGTGTGGCCTCAGGTAGCAAAAATTATGCTTTGAGTTTGACCAAAGAGAAAAAAGAGAGGGGGAGGAAGAGAGATAGAGGGGGGAGAGAGATGTCATACAGACAAACACTATTTTATTGGTCCGTCCCTGACTTTTATTCATACCCCAATGTCACCTTCCTATTTTTCTGCTATACATGTACCTGACAAACACACACCTCAAGACTGCTGGAGGACACTTCTAGCTTCTTACACTGTCAGATCGTAATGTACATGGAGAGTACTTCTCTGCAGCTATTCAGGAAAACCTGACATTTTTAAGAGCTGTTATTACCACTTGTTGCTAGTAGTTGCACCCAAAGGGGATTGGAAATAAGTGGTCATTAATAGATGTGGAGTGGTGAATATGAGTTGTGCAGCTTACACAGACCAATGCATGTTGTAAACTTGAAGCATAGATTCTTCTACACATAGAAGGAGACAATGGTTAAGATGTGTATTGTTGTGGCATTTTGGCTTCTTCTTCATTGATATAACTTGATCTGTTCCTTGACTGTTAGACAAACATTGCATCTTCAGATTTGACGCTGAACATTTGCCAGACTGCTGGGATTTTAAAAACATTTAATTTCCCAATAAAGTTAAAATCATAGAATGTGAGACTTCTACAACTTACAACATAACTTCCATTGACAAGAGATAATCTGTCGTAAGGTTCCGGGTCGGAGTTTAATTCTGACCAGGGTTCCAAATAGTGCGCAGTAAATCGCCGGATCTGCGAGGTTGTCACGCTAGGTTTGGCTCCCCATAGCTCGGCGATCGCTGTAGATTTTCAACTAGGTTTTGAATTGATCAAAAAGCCTTGGGATTGTAGTGTTTTTCGGCGCGGTGAAGTTGGACGGCCAGCGAAGCGTTTTTGGTATTAGTCCGCGAGCAAGGGTGATGCGGTTTGTCGCCTGATGACCCAAATAGCTGCGTTCTATGTGGAATTTCTAGGGGTTCGCGTCACCGGATTTTGCGAAAAACTTATCGCAACAACCTATATTTTTTTTCTGTTTTTCAGAAACAGGAAGTAGTAAGCTATTTCAGCATATAAGCCGTTAGCCTGGGAAAATTCGTTTTTTCCAAGCAGGTCCGTTGAAAAAACTGCAAAAAAACTACATTTTTCGTATCCAAAATTTACGTTTAACTACAGTTTCTACCCAAATTATAGAGTCGACGGACAATAACCAAAATTGTATCGGAAGCCGGCTGGAAACCTCCGTTGACTGATGTAATGAGATTTCCCGGCGTACTTTTTTTGGCGGAGTTATAGCCCTTCGGTCTGAGGGTGTCCGCCGGATCCAAAATCGTGAAAAAAACTCCGGTCCGAGACCGTAAACAATCTCTCACTGTCAGGGACTGATTGTGCTTCTAGTTCTAGGTACCTGTAGAAGGGCTGCTACACTTAGAAGTGTGATGTAGTCAGGCTAATAAAGAAGTATGGAAGAATTAGAAGAGGACTTTTGAAGGTCGATTGCTTAGGCTTGCTGACAATTTTAAGTGGACTGCCTTCTTGAATTTGTATGTAAGGATGTTAAGGATTCACTTTGAGTACACACCGTGTCCAGTACACGTGCCTTTGATAGATACTCATCATCATCACTCCAATATTCATCCCAACTACCAATTGCAGAAGCACTAGAAGACGGATTGAGCGACTTTGAAAGCGTGAAAGCCTTCCCTTCACGCACACCTCGCTATGGAGTAGTAGTCGACAGCGAAGCTGAGGATATAGGTAGGACACCTGTTGGTTGTGACATACTAGCTTGTGATTCGCTTTGATTTGATCTAATTACTGTATCATTGTTAGACGATGGCATTTGATTGTTTTGAATGAGCTGCTCTGTGATTCTTGATTGCTTGGATAAAATTATTGCTGCTACAGTGTATTATGAATTTTTTAATGCACAAATTGTAGTTGGAGGAATCACAACACTGCATTAGAGCATAGCCTTTTTTAGAACTTGTTAACTCGTATATACATCTACTAGTAGATGTAAAATTGGGATATTTCTGTATAAGGTTAATGTGGCAATGATTGAAGTTGATAGATATGCAGGCCATCAGACTGACAAGAAGTTCAATGCCATGAACAGCTATAGTCACGTTGTTGGTTGTACAATAGTTTGTTACACCAAAGGGTTGATTATCAATACTGAAAGTGCTTGTTGATTTATGTACAAAGATGTGTATACAAAGATGTGCTTGATGCTGACTGTATAATACAGGGCTGATACAATGAGACAGTCAGAGTTAAGATCTGCAGCAGTCTTTATTATAAGCTTAGAGCCTTTCGGATCTGGAACAATGGCTAAAAACATTTAGGAGTTGCTTGTCAATTATTCAAGCATTCTTTTTTAATCAAAGACTAGAAGTATTACGTGAAATACAAAACAATTCAGCAACATAAAACATACATGTAGTAGACAGGAAAATACATTTATGGGGAACATTGAACCAAATAATTACACAATTTTCACTGCATCAAACAATACTCAAAATTATTACATCTTAGTGATTCTTTCGTTAGATTCTTAGATTCTTAATCTTAAGTTAAACTTTATATAATTGCACATAATAGATCATCCTCTTAAAGTCTAGTATTTATTTGGCTGGGATGCTAGAAAACCTATAAAAGGTACAGGACAAAAGTACTACATGCATTAAAATAAGATCTGTCATTACAGGACTAGCACAAATAACAATTCTGCTTTTTGACTGGTAAGATAGAAGTTGAATAATAAAAGTGTCAGGAAAGACATTGAACTATGCTATGCTTTTTTCTTGACTTAGGTTCACTACATCTAAACTGCCACCATTTTAAACAGTTGATGTGGAATAAGCTAAAAGTGTACATTGAAACACAAATTGTACTACTACACTGTACTTTCTACTAAAATTCAATAGTCTTAGGTTCAACAAATTTTCTTTAAACATCTTGTATTTTCTTTAAACATCTTGTACTGAAGTCTTACTACCTCGGGTACGTAGCATGAAAAAACCTGACAGATGTCACTCACTGAGGGTGCATCCCTGTCATCATCTGCTCTAGGGGAATAGGCTGTCCCATAGGTTGCATTGGTAGAGGTTGTCCCACATGTACAGGTTGTCCCACCTGTATGGGTTGTCTTATGGGTGGAGGTTGCGGTATGGGTGTAGGCTGCCCCATGGGTGTTGGGTGACCCATGGTTATAGGCTTCCCCATGGGTACATGATGTCTTACTATGTATGATGGTTGTCCCTTGGGTTGCACAGGTAGAGGTTGCCCCATAGGTATAGCCTTCCCCATGGGTACATGCTGCATCATGGGCATAGACTTCCCGGGTGTGGACTGCCGTACGTACATGATTGCAGGCTGCTTCGGGGGTTGGCCGTGCACAGGTTGTGTGAACGTGGGTCGGGGCATGGGTTGGCTGGGTGTGGGTTGCCTCATGGGGATGGCCTGCATTCGCACATGTGGGGAGTGCGGTCTCATGGGCATGGGCATAGGCATAGGCTGTCTTGTTGGTACCGGTACTTGCTGCATGGGTGGTGTGTGGGTTACAGTGATGGCCTGTATGGGGCTGGGTTGTAGCGGCGGGTAGGGGTGTGCCTGTGGGGGCATGAAGTATGTTGGCTGCTGTGCAGAGCTTGTCTGCGGCCCCATGTTATGACCCACGTGTCCTCTCTGGAAGGACCCATCCACAGCGTGGGTGTAGCTCACAAATCCTGGAGAGAGTTCGTTTCCTGGTCTTAGTAATGCTTCTGGTGAGATATGTTGGACATTGCCCGGAATAACACTCTCTCCACTCACAGATAACAGTTTAAGGTCCATTTCTTCCACGTTGTCATGCAACACAGCTTCCCCTCCAGCTATCTCGATGGTGGCGTCAATGGCTTTCTTTAAGTTGGAGGCGAGAAGCGCCATACCGTCAGTATTGAGGAGAATCCCATTAGACTGGTACAAACCGGCTTTAATCAGGATGGGACGCTCTTTACCCAAGTTCTCGTTATCCACGCACGTGGCCGTGCCCATGGTCGTACTGATGTCCCATAGAAAGTCGTTGACTTGCTTGCGCTTGTACATCAGGGATATCTCCTTCCACGGAGGGATGAGTGAGAGAATGATACGGGCGTATGGATACTTTCGCTGTGCCTTGGATATCAGGAGGTCGTAGTTGTGAATGACGTTGTCGGCACTCTTGGTGATGCGGATGTCGTTCATTCCAACATGGAGGACGAGACACTTAAGCCGGCTGTAGTTGGTGTTTCTCAGACAGAGGGCTGCGTCTTGTATGATCAGTGCCGAGTGTTTCGCCACCTTCAGATCTTCGTGAAGCACCTGAGGTAGGATCCCTTTGATGTTCTCATCCCCGATAAGCAAAATCTCTGCTTCTTGTTCGTCGTCAGGGTGGATGTACATGTGCGCCTGGTCATGTTGTTTGGCAGGCAAGTGATCATTGTTGTTTCCTTGCTCCCCATTTTGAATTCCAGCATTTGAAGTTAATGAGTCTGGCACAGGTTTGACTTGGTGGTCACGAAACATGTACTCTGCAGGTATTGCACACTCGTTTTGCACGTTTTCCGTGTCAAATCCGGTGGGAGAAACATGCCTGGGATTGCGGAAATCTGAGATTTCTCTTGTCGTTGCGTCTCCATTTTCTACAGGACTTTGGCCTTGGTATATGTCCATGTTTGACAGTACCACAAGTTGGAGTTCAAGACGGGCCACTCTTTCTTTTAGTAGTGTGTTAGCAGCTTCTAAATTGGCCACTCTATCCGTCAGTGCTCTTATATATGTTGTACTCAAAACAATAGTGTCATTATAAAGGTCCTTACTTTGTCCAAGAGTAGCTTCACTCTTGCATTTTTCTGAGGCACTTGGCACCACAGTTTCCAATTTTCCACTACTCCTGTTTGTGATTTCCTTTCTGTTTTTGTCTGCCCCTTTTACTAGGTCCCCGTGATCTTTGTGTTGCCCCTTTTGGCCCTTTGCTGCTTTCGCAGATTGAGATTGGCCTTGTTTCTTTGTCCCGTCAGCCTTCTGCCATTTGCACCTGTTCCGCAGCTGTAAGCAGGTGTAACAGATGTAATCCTTCTCCCCACTGTCCACAAGGTCATCTAACAGGTGTTCCAGCAGCCCGCTACAGTGGGAGTGAAACCAGGTCTTACACTCCCCGCACCGAACAAAACTGTCGTCCTCTTCGTTTCCCTTGCTGCATTTCCCACAAATCTTATCAGCATCGTTACGAGAATCCAATTGCAACGTTTGATCCTTCTGTGCCAAGTTCTTATTGTTCGTAGCCATCTCTCTAGGTCTTTTGTGCCAGAAATCCACACAAAGACTTACAGTACTGTACGAGTGCTTGCAGTGCTTGTTAGTTTTTGGTGCCTATGGAAACACGAACCACTGAGTTTTGTGAGCACATACCTGACGTCCCAGCTTTCTCCTTGTGGTAATCAGGCGCGATAGTAGAATTTATAGACGATAATGCAGCATTGTGCCACCAGGCTTCCTAGTTCTGCACCACTCCTCGACACTCAGGGTGAGAACAACAACATGTCTCCACTTACAAACAGGCAAAACACCTGTTGCATTGTCTGGTCTGAGAGGTCCTATTAGTCCTCCCGGCTGTAATGCTGCCCCAGCAGGAGCCAGATCGTTAGAGCAGAAGTGATTGTGTATCAGCCGGCGTACATATTCATCTAGAAAATAGGTAAACAACATATGATAGGGCCCGTGTAGCAGCCATATTGGTGCCGTATCACGTGTCGATTACTGTTAGGCACAACTGGTTTGGGCAGTTGGGAGGCTCTGGCGGGGTTTACAAGGAAGCTTGACATTATGCTAATGTGCAGACAGCGTGGCCAGCTAATTAATCTTCTTTCTGCTGCCTAACCCAATTTTCAACACAAATTTGGTACCAAATAGCTACTCAAGAAAGAAGAAGGTTAAAGAGTTTCAAACTTCAAGAAGTGTAATTTGATCACTGAACATTTGTTCATGAAAAAAATATGCAATCACTCCATAACACACATCCTAGAAAGTATTACTGGGCAAAGAGAGTAAATTGGCCTTCTTTATCATGATGATTTCATTAGACGGCAACTTTATTCATCAATTTTTCACATTGCTGGCCTTTAGGATGCCAGACACTTTAAATAATTTATGAGGGCCCAAATGAATAGCAGTAATACCATGACGTGGCAGTTTAAATTGGCTCAACACTGTTATCTTGTAGTTGATCACTTTCTGCCATATGCATTACATGTTGATCCAATTTTGAGTGTAAAAAAAAGTTCATTGAAAATTTCTTTAGGATTGACACACATTGGTAAACCAGTTAAAACACTAGACCTGTTTTGATAGTTTTTATTTTGATGTTCAATATTCTGTAGATGAAGGGATGGGCTGGTGTGGATTATTAACATTAAAAATTTTAATCAGGGATTATGAAAAATGCCTCAAATTGGCAGTTAATATTTAATTTGCTATCATTGACAAGTTAGACCCTGAGCTTGCTAACTCATAGTACTAGTACATGTAGTAGGAATAAATGTCCCCAGAAGGATACAATGTACATTGTATACACTGTACAGCTGAAGGGATTGTATGATCTGGCAACATGAAGTTACAAACAAGTCACAAGGCACATCATGATTGAATTAGAGGACAGTACAATGTAAATTCCACCTGCCAGTTTATTGTTAATTATGATTCCCTTTATGTCCATCGCATGACAAATTTGACATTCCATGTCTACGTGTCAAACTTTACTGCACTGTCATTCTCTCAGTAGGAGAAGCAACAGTCAAGCCTCACACACCTGTCTGTTACCTACTCTCGGTGTCACACCCTTGCCACAAAGTTTTCAACTCAGATACTTTTTGTTCAGACTTGTGAGTGATTGATTTTTCTCCTCACCATGGCAGGAAACGAAGGGGAGACGGAAGTTGTCAGCGATGTTGAGGACAGCCCAAAACACACTGGCCCAGACTTCAGCAACAACAGCTACTACAGGTAACTTACTTTTGAAAGATTCTAACAGTATGGTAACAAGACTTCTTTTTCAGTGTCTTTTGCCTGTAGCTACTAGTATACATTTGAAAGTTGATGGCCCAGTCACATTTGTTGTAAGTCGTTGTACAGGCAGTGACAAAACCAACTGCTGACAAGGATCTAAGATTGCGTTTTCAGTAACAAGAGAGCTGAATCTTGTGCGACACATGCACAACTATCCCAAGAATGCTCTCAGTTTGCAATCGTGTACAATGAATGTGAACAGGCAGGCCCTAACTGACATTTTCTAAACTACATGTAGGAGCGAGCGTGTTTGTTGTCCCCATGTCACTGATCGAAATCTACAAATATCCGTATGTACTATATTTGTTTTGAGATAGTTAGTTGTGACACAACATATCCTGTTTACTTATGGGTGGTCGTGTCATGAACAATGAAGAAAAGCTTTGACCCTTTAACCTTGAGCAAGCGAGAGCAGGCGACACTTGTCACTGATTTGACATGTCTGAGCAAGGAGGTTTCCAATGCAGTCCTGATAATTTATTATGGTTGAGAAGATTTTGTGTTGCGAAGATGACACTGTGCTACCAAACATGAACTAAAGTCACAGCAGGTGAGAAAAGACTACAATGATCATACTATGCTAAAGCTTAATATTGCATACATTTGAAAAAGGTTTATACAGTCAAACTTGTACAAGTGACCACATCAACATAAAGACCACCTGGCCAATTTGACCACTTTTTGTGGTCCCTTGGATAATTTTTCCAATTGACACAAGCAATAATTTTAAGAATTCTGTCTATCTTCTAGTAACCACCTGTTAACATAGATCAGGTTTCATTGGTCCCTTGAGTGGTCTTCTTGGGCAGTTTTGACTTTATTTTAAAAGAAATGTAATGTAAGTGAAGTGATACAAAAGAACTTGAACAGGTGAAATTTTACCTCAAAACATGTTCAGGCTATACAATAGTCTTTTTGCTACATTTCGAACATCTTGTTTGCTCAATCATATAATAATAATATGTGCCAAGTTTTTTTTGTTCACAGTGTGTGCTAAATTTTTTCATCATTTCTTTCTTAACGGTTGGAAAACCCTGTCTTAAAGATTTTGCAGGGTTCTTATTCTAAGTCTCCTTTAATTTTTGAGAGTAACTGTTGTTTTCTTGTAAGAGGGAAAAGAATCATGTTGGTGGATCAATTAGGCATATTATTTTCCACCTGCAGTTTGATTTAACCATATGTGGAGGTGGGAAGTTGTAACTAAATGCAGAAGAAGGAAATGTAATCCTCTCTCAGCCCCTTTGCATTATCTACATTGTACTTATTAAATCTGTCCTGGGCCACAGTAAGTAAATTCTATGGATAACATTGATTCAAGATTTCATTCCACTTTCTTGTTGGTCAACATGACAACATTTTAACTGAAGATGGGAAAATATGTTGTAAAATTTTATCAGTATTCTCTCACTAAATGTCATAGATACCATGTGTGGTAGCCTTGAGTGTAGTGGTGAAAGTGTGAACGTCACTAGTGTGGTTGCCTTGAGTGTAGTTGTAGTGATACTAGGCTACCGCACTGTACTCAAGGCTACCCCACTAATGTCATTTCCTGCACTTCTTGAGTACAGGAATAAAAGATTTCTTGGCTGTGACACCAATGTTTTGATGCTTCCATTCTCGTTTCAGTGTTTATACAAAATCTCTTTTGAAAATGTAGGCATATCGTTTTTTTTTGCCCAAGATTCCTTGTTTTCTGTGCTCTCGAACTAGATTTGGCATCTGTGTCAAGTGCCATCCATAATATTTACTTACTGTGGCCTTGGTATCAACTTTGCATAATTGTTCCACACATGTATAGAAATCAGGGCGATTTTGTAAATGGGTTTTGTTATTAGCTGTCATCTTCATGTTGACATCGTTTCTCCATTCCATTTCCACTCATGCGGCAGTGACGGAGCCATAAGAAACAGGAGACAGTCTCTTATGCGCCGTTTGGCCGCTGTCGACACGCGAGGCTCTGTGAGCTTTGACTCGTACACTACCAACAGCGAGGGTAGCTCGTTCGAAAACGACGACCTACTATCAATGGAGGTAATTCAGCGCTTGCGGGCTATCGAGGCCAGCGGTTGTGGTAACGATAACGATGATGATGATGTATTTGAAAGCACCAATGTTAACGAGAAAGCTTCTCCAATGGGCATTCCTGTATTAGAGGTGTCTGAGGTGGAAAACGATGATCACAAATATTCAGCCAGTAATGAGCAGCAGGCTGACCCCACCAAGTTGGCAGACTACAAGACAGTGTTTATAAATAACTGGATGGGAGCCAAGCAGCCGTATGAAAATGACATTGACTACATGCTGCGTATTCGCAGTGCCGCTTCGTCGCCGGGGCCCGGGTGTCTGTCGCGGGGGTCGAGTTTCGACAGTAGTTCGGGCACGGTGAGCGATCTGCTCGAACATCGGGTAGGCAGCGCAGAACAGACCCTACTGGAGCTCGGGTTCGGGGGAGCTGGATTTGACATCCCTGTACGATTTCTACCATCACTCAGGCAGAGGTTGAAAAACCAAGCCAACGCATTTTGGCTGGCAGGGCAGGATGCAAAGTCACCCACCGCGTTATGGAGCTCAAGACACAGTTCACAGGACTTAAGCAGCGACGACGGACAGTCAGATGCTCAGAGTCTCAGGAGCATTGAGACTGAATCAGAAAGTTTGATTTTCGGGAAGCAGTCTGAGGGAAAAACTGCCAAACATGGCCACGTTGGAGAAGATGAATCCGTGCCAGATGCAAAGGAAATGCAAAGGTCAGGGAAAATGGTCAAAATAGCCGAAGATTGTGGGAAACGTGGTGATACCAGCGATGTTGATGCTGCAACTAAGCGAAAGAGGTTGGTCAAAGCAGCCACCATCACCTCAGTAGCTGCAGAAGCTATGAACAGCCCTGGGAAGACCCAAAACGTGGTGAGCGGCTCGGCCCATGCCCCCTCTCTGCCCGGTCGTACCATGCTGGACTTGATGCGACTCAAGAGGAAGCGGATGCACTTTGTGAAGCAGAAGTCCCTCCCCACCAACCTCGAAACACTGCCGGAGGTGGAAGAGAAGCCGCGGATGTTTCAGAGCTCCAGCTCTGAGAGCAAGCACAACAGCAGCCCAACGCAGAGTACTGAGGACCAAAGTGTGGAGTCAGGAAACATCAAAGACAATGGAACAGGAAAGTCCAGAAGCCCAGCATTAGAAGTCATCCACTCTATTTCAATTAACAGTATGGAAACAGAACCGAAAAATATTATTAATAAGGAAGACAGTTCCACAGTGAGCAATGATACCGTTTCACCTGTACAACATACTTTTGACGTTAAAGAACAGTCATTAACAAGTGGAAATGCCAGTTTGGTCCATGCAGAGCTTTCTGTACAAGGGAGCAGAGAACCTACAGTCAAAGGACCATGTAGCGCAGGGATTACAGTGGACCAGGATCACAATCACTCAGACAGAACACACAGTTTGGCAGACAGTAAACATGGGGAGGAAGGGTATCAACAATTTGGAAGTAGTGGTGACTACGCTCAATGTAAGATGTCGAAACCCTCAGAAATCTCGGAGTCAGGGCCTGTAGGTGTGTTTACAGCCCCAACCAAACATGGAAGTGATAACAGAAAGGTACACGCTTCCAGTAACATTGGTGATGACAAGGATGACCCTCAAGTTGTGGCGTTGCAAGGAAACAAGCCATCAGATGAAGAAATGAGCGATTCGGAAGCCAGTGCAGGGCCAAATGTCAAACTCTTTGTGCAGAAAGTTTCATACAAAGATAGCTTACTGTTGGAGCTCCCTCTTATTCTCCAGTTGCCAATTATGACTGCTCATCAGTGTTTTAGTGACAGAGAAGCTGCTATGCTGCTACAGGATGATCAAGCCATCGGCCAAGTAACAGATTTTGACGGTCGTGAGAGCCCAAGGAGTTGCTCTAGTGCTAGCGGCCCCAGCTATAATCCTTGTTCAAATGTTTGGCGACCTGAGCCCAGCGTACATTATAGGGGAATCCTGCCCAATGCTGCTAATGTAGGTTACATGCCTGTTAGTCAAGGAAAGCCAAGAATGCACCCGACTGTGGGCTATGAGATGGACACCAATCGTAATGTCTCAATGCCACGCAACCTTCCTCAGACAGAGTACGATAAGAGAGGAGTATCCAAGCCTTCAAAAAGGCCTTTCTTTGATGAAAATAAGGGGAAAATGGCTAGTAATGACACCACCTGTTTGGACAGGTTAGTACAATGTGCTTTTGTAGTGTCACTCTGCAGCTATGTATATCTTGTCATCATGCCATGTCAAAGTCTTTCTTGTTGTCCTGCTATTTGTTTTGAGAGATTAGTCAAGATGTAAAAGGTCAGACTGCTATAAATATAAATGTTCTGATGTATGCTGAGTCGTGTGTGACTTGCTTATTGTGATCCTACGTGTGTAAGATTGTTGAAATATTTATATTTTGATTACAACTTACATTTACAATTTATAAGCTGAGCATGCCTCAGGTATTCTGAATATTTTGCAATGTTTAGTAATCAACAGTCAAAGTTCCAGTCCTACATTATTGAATGATGTAATAAGTTTCCACATCTATTTCATGCTGTGTGGTATTGTGGATGTTTTCAATGTTGTATTTTGGTGTCTTGTGTAACTATATTTTGTCCTTGGCTTGGCTACAATAAAGAGTTTAGTTTGATCATTGTTGTTGTTGTGTACATGTCATTTCAGTGTTTTCCTCGTGCAATGTTGTTAATCCCAACCTTTTCTTTTCATGTAAGCTCTTCAAACTAAGGGTTCTCTCTTTTTATTTGCAAGACAGTCAGGTTAGGTCTTGAAAAGGCCAGTAAGAAAACTTGTAGGTTTTATATAAGAAAAAAATCCTTGCTAGTAATTCAGAAAAAAAAAGACATTTCATATTTGGTAACAAACAAAAGCTTCATGAAAACTTGTGTTGACCCTATCACTGTGACAGTATCACCTTAGAAAAGAAACTGGGATGCAAAGTGTTTGGTTACTAAGGACATGGAAAGGTCAGAAACAATGCCCCCCTCCCCCTTGTATCATGCAGGTCTATTCTTATCTGTTGGTTCAATCTGCCAATCTTTGATACCATTGAATCTGCCAGGCAGCTGGAATGTTACTGCTGCATTCCTGATGCACCTTTCATTGCTCAGACCCCGGTGACAAATGTTATTTCACATTAGACATTTGAATGATTCTGATCATCAACAGAATCTTCAACAGTTTCTGTATGCATGATTATGTTATCTCTAATCAGTCTCAATATTTTGAAACCTTAACCCCTTTGTTTGTGAAGTAATGTTAATAGTACTTGTGTTTTGTTAAAACTTAAAATCTTGTTGCTTGCTTAGATTGGTGTTGAATTCTGCTTCTGTGTAATGGCTGTTACCCTTCCAAATTTACCCTGTACAATGTTTTTGTTTAGTCTAATGCCATTGAAAAATCCATTATTTAGTAATATCTGATTCTTCATGTGTCTGTCAGGAGTAGTAAACCAGGAGCAATGGGATCGAGTGATGTGGGGAGGAGAAGAGACTCCGGCAAGATGCAGTCCACACCCAAGACTTACTCTACTCTACCCGATGTATCAGCCAGTATGCCTGATGTTTCAGCTATCAGTGCTGCATCAGACAGAATCAGGGTAAGACACGATTTTGTGGCTCGATTGGGTTCAAGGATGTTCCATTATGAAATGTGACACTTTCATTATGTCATTCATGTCTAATCCGAATAGATATGATGTGTGTCTAGCCAAATCATAATGCAAGCAATCATAGCTAAATGCAAAGCAAGGCAGTAACTTTGTTAGCTTTTGGTCACGGAATTGTTTTGGTGGCTGAGCTGTGTGAGGGTCCAGACAGAGTAGGTTGATAGCATGTGGGAAGATTGACATACAGTGACAGGAAGTCAAAAGGTCAGACACAGGAAATTAGGAGTAGCTCAGGGTTACCAAATCCCAAGGAAGTACGTACTGGAAGTATTCTAATTTCTTGTTTTCTGTCAAGTGGTCCAGGAGAATATAGATGGCAATAACAATGATTTCTTAGGTCTTAGTTATGTCAATTCTTATGATTCTGCTGTAACAGTTACTCATGTTAATACAAATCAACTGCATGTGTTTAGAGCCCAGCACGCGGTGGACGTTACCACTCCTACGAGGACATCAACTCCACGATCATGCCAAGAACCAACAAAAGTCCAGCCAGCCTGCGGGACGCTGATCAAGGTTTGCGGGATGCACAGACTCAGAAACAGGTGAGGTTTTGTGTCCTTTGCATTTCCTGAGGGCATCTGCCAAATTGAATCTCATAATCTGTAATTAAGGCAAAAAGGGAAGACTCGGGTTGAGGGAATTCAATTTCGTATACCCTGACTTCAAGGTGATATCATAAAGCTTCTAACCTTGAAACCAGTGAGTACAAAATGTGCCCCCTTGTGGCTGTGAATGGTACTGCAGTACACACCACTTCTCAGATTGTTCATTACTGGTAGTGCAGAAAACCTTTGGGCAGACACATACATTGCTTCACCGGTAATATAACATCTATACAACAAGGCAAAAGAAACATAAATCTCCACAAGAGGTTACAAATCTCCACAAGAGGTTACAACAGCAATGAATTTTACATTCAACATCCTCCAACATATTTACATTCACAGAGGCACTAGATTACTTTTCCCTCATATACCTGTCAGGTGAACCTCTTATCTGTGGGTGCTACTGGTATTTACAGCCTTGTGTATTGCTGTATGTATTGGTATCATTTTGACCCATTCCTGTTGCCTGGATATGCCCTGGTCCTGGACCCCTGCAGAGGTTGAAATATATGGTGATTGATGGTCAAAACTTGTTGTCTAACAGAAACAAAGTCTTATCAAGTCAGACTTGTAAGCTTTCTGTAATTCTCTTTAAGAATGAAATTTTCTTTCAAAGTTGAATATTTCTTGAATTGTGTGGAAAATGTTATTTTTTTTCTGCTGTGAGAGGATGATGAAATTTGAATCCAACAGGTGGCATGTATTATTCAAACCCCCTGTCGGTTACACAAAGGAGGCACTTGTCCCCTCCCACTCAACGTTTTCTTGGTTCCCAAACGTTAATAGTCATTGCTGTTGGTGAATTTGGTCAGAAAAGAAAGCCTTTTTGTACCAATATAAAGTTGATTTCTCCACCTTTGCACAGGTGTGGGTGGTTTTAATGAACAGGTGACTTCATTACTGTAGATAGATTTATTTTCACACAGACCTCATTTTGCAGTAGAAGGGTACAAAGAAGTTTTGCAGTTGAAACAATTCAGAACTGTGCAGGAGTGATACATTAGAAACACAAGTTTGCAGAGTCGCAAATTTATAGCGGAGTGGTTGCCATGAAAGTAAGACCGCCGCAAACTTGTCAAGATTTACAGTATTATCCGAGATCGCAAGAGGAGGCTTGAAACTGGAATTACGACAATTATGTCCCGAGGGGCACCCTGTATAGCAGCCTTTCCCTATTGTTACCGGCCCTTTCACCACCAGATAACGCTATCATCCTGACGACAATGCTCTTTCTTCTCTGATTGGTCGCTTCACCGCTTCCAGCCTCAAATTGCCACTTCGTAGCGTCGCTGTATTGGAGCAATCAGTTCGGAGTTGTAGACTATGTAAACATGTAGCGGTTTGCAAGCTATGGACCAAAATGACCCTGTAGTAAAGTACAGGTTGGATTTGGATTTTCCTGACCTAGCTTTGGTAAGTGTTTGTCAAGACGTCATTGGGTTAGATAGATGATTGTCTTCATTACTGGACATTGTTATTGTGTTAATTACATTATTTAGCAAGACAGAACACGTAGTTAAGGGCTGTTCCAAAGAAAACAAAATAGAAGGGAAAGGCAGCAGACTACAGTTTGTGTTTTTATTTTGTTAAAAAAAGCTGTATTCTAAAATTGGTTAGATGCTGTTGCACACCTTTGCACACATATTTTCGTATTGTCTCGTACCCCTTATAAAAATACTCTTTGTCGAAGGTCTTTGTCAACACCTGCTCCAAGAAATTTTGAAACTACCTTTTGCAGTTCAGATGTGCTAATTGATTTCCCCTGTTTTATGCTCTTATATCAAGAATGTTGGAATTTGCTGTCATTTATACATGTATGTTATCTGATATGTCTAATGACAGAAGGCACCTGATTGTCTGCCAAGACAGAAGGATGCCAACAACAATGTCAGAAGGTACTAGTACCTGATATCAGCCGTTGCTGCCAGGGAGTGCCTTTGTATCACAGTAGCAGTTTCGATAAAATAAAATGAAAACCGTGCTAAAAGAAACGTCCTTTGTGAAGACCTGTGTGTTGTTATTTGTTGTGACCTCTAATGTTGTGTTGTGACCTTCAGGCTGTGCTGTCTGAGATGAGAGAGATTCAGGAGTCGCTGAAGAGCAAGAGGTCAGAGGTCAGCCAGGCGGAACATGAGGTCCAGGACATGCAGACCAAGTCAGACGAGCTCAGGTAACACAGAAGTATTACTGAAACTTTTCTGATAGACGGGTTTATTTTTAGAGATTCATTGTTTTTTTTCTCACCTTTTTATTTATGCCTTACTGAGCCTTTAATGTACAGTCAGTATTATTTTCTCAGTTCCCTCATGATTTCTCCAAGCTGGTTAATTTTGTAGGATAAAGGTTTTCATTGACTTGACAATTTCTAACAGTTCTCTGGAGTTTGTACAGTCTACAATGTATTTCCATCTTCTGGAGTTTAGTGACCTACATTTTGAATGGGTTGGATCGTTTACATGAAATTTGACTCACCACATAAATAGTGTCTGTACTTTTGTAAACAGTAGGCCAAACTCTTTTGATTTCACTTTTTTCCTAAACGTTATGGTAGCTCGTTGCCATAGGTTGATTATTGTTCTGTACTGTTGCATATCTGTAAAGAAGCAATTTTTCTTTTTTTCTGGACTCAATCTATATTCAGAAATCTGATGTTATTTTAAAAATCAGGCTTCTGTGCCTTTCCCTTCAACTGTTTTGTAAACACGATGTTCTCCTGTTGTATGTACCCAGGGCAGAGATTATGGTACTGGAGTACAAGCGGGACAGTGTGGAGAAGGAACTACAGGGGCTGCACAAGGACCTGGAGGCCAGGACCAGACCCTCCAGCCGCCAGCGGGACCGAGACGAACTTGGCATGTCCAAGGAACAGGTAAACTGTGGATTCGTATACTCTTTATAAGGTGTGAAGTATTATTGGGATTAATCAATCCAGGTTGAGGTTTTGAATCCCGGCATGTTGCCTTGAAAACTACTTGAAAACTAAAGGTGTTTTTAGTCTTCACAACAGGAAAATTGTCTGACCATAAGTATTAGAAACTTGCTATTAAGAGTATTCAAATACCTCTAAGCCAAAGTAAAGAAACAAAAACTGGAATGGTATTGCATAGCCAGGTATCATAGCCATATATTGGGACTGGCCAAAACCTTCAATCATTCAAGGAACACTCTGAGGAGGAAGACAGAGAGATAGGCAAAGGAAAAGATTGGGGGATGATATCAGAGAATGAATCTCTCAATGTCCTTTAAATTGTCATAGCTAATAGCTCTGCAACAATTTTTTCCTGTAACAAGCTGTGAGTGCTTTAAGCATATGTTGAACGTTAAAGTTGAAACCACCTGCTGCTCCACAGGTGTTGGAAGTGATCCGTGAGCGGGATGAGTTACGGGCGCGGCTGCGGAGCGGGGAGGGACAGATCAGCGGGCTGGAGCGGCGGGAGCTGGAGAGACAGCTCAACGCCGCCAAGGAGGACCTCTTCAGCGAACAGCGCAAGTCTCGCGCAAAGGTGGAGGAGCTGCAAGACGTAAGCAAAGACTTAGAGATTCTTCTAAAACTGCTCTCCTTCTGTGTTAAAGTACCTTATTGTGTAGGTTATCATACACCAGAATCAAACATCAATTCATATTACAACAACCATTACAGCAGTTTTGTTGCAATTCTTTTACTTAAAATTTATATATTAAAGAGATGGGATATGTGTTTATTTTTACAGGAGCTTGAGGAGTGCAAGCGGCAACTGGAAGAGACGCAGCTGGACAAGGGGGATGCTGTCCACCAGATGGAACAGCTCCATCTCAAGGTCAAGGAACTGGAGAGGGCCAGGAAAAGAGACATCGAGGTCAGGACTTATATTTACATTTATGTCCTACCTGGGCCGCGATTGCGTTCGATACGGGTGTTCCGGCCCGTGTGATAACTAGTGGTACGGCCCGGGGGTTCTTAACGCGTACGGCCCGGGGCTTCCAAATGTTCAATAGAACGATTCGAACGCGTTTCGCCCTAACCGCTTGCACCGCTTTCGAAAATTCGAACACAAAATTCGGATGTTGGAATTGATGTTTGTTCATTTGTTTTGGGTTTAGGGACACCAAATGTTCGCCCATTTCGCATTAAAAGGCGTGTTTTCTTGGGTGGGTATGACATAAATAAAATACAACACGGTGTATTCCGCATCACCCTCGGTCCCAGCCCTCCCGCGGATCGGTTCTCCCTGCGGCCTTCGGCCGTCGGGCGATCCGACGCGCAGTCGGGCTGGTACCTCGGGCGATACGGAATACACCGTGTTGTATTCTATATTTATTTATTAATAAGAGAATAATGGTGATGATTTTGTACTTAAACGTAATCAAATCTGCAGTAAAAAGTTTAGTTGGTTTTGTGATAACATGAAGGTATCACAAGGAAAACAATTGTGTGGCCAGTTTCAACAGCTCCACAACAGTTACTACATATTCTGTGTTCCTAACATTCACTGTATATTCTACAGAACAAGACAGATGCCCTGGACAATGCCAACAAGAGAACCCGGGTGGAGGTGACAGACCTGAGGTCACAGCTCGCAGAGAGAGACAAGAGGATCGTCTCTCTGGAAGCAGAGCTCCACGAGAAGGACAAGCTGAACAGAAAACTCCAGGAGACCGTCTACAAGATGCAAGAGGAGCTCAGCCAGGTAGGGGTGGCTTTCTTGTTGAGGTGCAGTGTGGCAGTGCCATCTAGCTGTTAGTTGCAGTACTGCAGGAACTTAGAAACAACCACCTGTAACATCAGTCTTTTCATGCTTTGACAGGATGACTATCCAGGTTGTTGTGTTAAGTTGACTTGAAACCCAAATATTTATCAAGCTTGGTAAGGATTGGTATTTCCAGGAATGTGTTGCAAACAAAATGTATGTTTTGGGGAACTCAATATTGGTTTTGCTAAAAATCCATGTTTTCTCTTACAGGAAAGTGAGCTGAAGGACAGCTTGATAGAAGAGAATGAGAAAAACGTTGTGAAACTAAAGAAAGACAAAGTAAGGAAACCCTATTTTTCTTATGAGATATTAATTGGTTTATATCTTAATTAGATTAGTCTTGAGCTACATGTACCGATAGAATTGAATTCTTAACCCCAACCTTTCTTTTCAAATGATATCACAGGAAACCTCACTTGCTGCACTTCGCCACATGCTGCTAGAAGACAAACAGAGAGAATTGGACAGGGTAAGACTTAACTAGCAAATTTATCATGCTCTGTTTTGTTTTGTTTTGTTTTAAAGACTTTGACCCACCTAGCCCTAAAAACCTGGGGGGTGGCAAAAGCCGGTTAAATTTTAATCAAAGTATTGATGACAAGTACTGAAATACTATGCAATAGATTAGGCAGGCACTCTCTCATGTTGATGTTTCCCTCATTCCCAGCTTCGAGACCAGTCAGACCGTGAGCGACGGGACATCCTGGCCCGCCAGGAGGAGAGAATGGCGGAACAGCTGGCTGAGATGGAGCAAAGGATTCTGGTTAGTGAACTAAGTCTTAAACAAGTTGGAAAGAATCAAATTGCACTGTGACAGTCACCAGATTGCAATGATAAATTTGTCCAAACCTTCAGTGGTGACTGATGTTGTGTTGACTTCCAGGCCAAAGATGATGAAGTGACGATGGTTCGTGAGCGTCTCCGCCAACAGGAGGAGGCCACGCGTACGTTAGGAGACAGGATGAGACTAGAGGCTAAGGAACAGGTAGGGGGTCTTTAAGATTCTTCCATCTAAAGTTTGGGGGGGGGGGAATCTGGTATTTTTTAAAAATATGATGCAGAGTTTAGCTTATCCTAAAGTGATAAGAATTGCATTTCGAAGGTCAAAAATCAACAAGTGGGATATTTGAGTTTTCTTTCAATATACCATTAGCTTCTGAAGGTACAATACAATATAATACAAATACACCATGAAATCTTTTCATTGTCTAGATACGAAGTGCAATCAGCAAGGAAAAAGCATCCTGGGAAACAGAAAAGGAGCGAGCGGTCCAGCGAGAAAAAGATCGTTGGCAGGACGAGTCGGACAAACAGCTGAGTAAGGTACAGGAGGAGCTGGAGAAGGAGAAACAGCTCCACAACCAGGCTGACAAGAACTGTACCGGCCTTAAACAGGTCAGTCTGATTTTATTCAGGCTATTCCACAGTAAATGCTATTTTTGAGGCTATGCAAGTTTGCTTTATTGTTTGTCCCATTATGACATAAAGATCTTCCAGAACAAGAAATCAGAGATTTCAGATTTCTGAGTTTTCCTGATCTTCAAGTTTGCTCCATTTCCTGTGTCTGACCTTTTGACTTCCTGTCATTCTGCCTGGTAATCTTCCCCCTACCCATGTACTGTCAACTCACACTGACTCACACAAACCCACAGAATTCATCTAATTACGCTACTGATACCAAGTTAAACCCCCTCCTGCTTACTTATACTGTAAGTAGTACAAACTTGGCACATGCAATGTATATGTATCGTCGGTAGAGAGAAAGTTACTCTGTTTGAAACAAACACATGTCATGTTTTTGTTTGTTCAGGAGCTGGACCAGGCCCGTCAGCAGGTCCGAGCGGCCCACAGAGACAAACTAGCGGCCATTAACGAGGTGCGGGACTCTATGAAGGTGGAGAAGGAGGAGGAGATCAAACAACTCAGGGAACAGCTGACACAGGTAGGAGACCCGAATTACCCAGGGTGCACTAGTGTAAGCTAGTAGTAAGACAAGGTCCTTTGGTAATTTTGTCTGCCTGCCTGATTTAACCTAGCATGACCTCTAAAATCCACTCAGTTTGTTTGAATGCATGCTCAGCATGTTTACGTTTAGGGTTAAAAATAAAACACTTTTTGTAGTGTTGTAGGCAAAACATGCTAGGCGATATTATGTTTACTAATTTTAAATATAGTATGTCAGGAAGTAGTTTTTAAATGACATGTTCCAAATGATTGTGTAGCTACAGTTTTGTAGATAACAGAGGACAATCATTTGTTTAAAGGTTAACTGAAAGTTTTCTTTGTTACATGCTAAATCTTCATCACAATTGAGTAAAAGGCACCAAATTGTGTAATGCCTGCAAGCTGCATGCTTGCTTGCTTGCTTCTCTGTTTTGGGGCATAGTGTGGTTTTCTGTAGACTGCTGGGGCAATTCCTGAATTCATTTGGTATCTATCTACATCTAGCTGCTCCGAATTTCTACCTTTGCAAATACTCAATGTGCTATGTGCTCTTTCCTGAAAGCTCTCTGTTGGACATGCACACAAAAAGCTGCTCAAGTGTAAATTACACACTATTTGACAGATGACTGTGATGTAGCCTCCATTGCAGCTCTTGCCATATTTTTTTAAAAACAAATTTGCATACTTTTCTGATAGTTGAGATCTTGTCAAGCTATCAGAAAACTGTGCGTAGTTGTTTTGAAAAAAAACCCAGGTATGGCAAGGGTTACAATGTAGGCTTCTGTAAACAAACATTAGCAAAGTGCATGGCTGTAGTGAAAAAAAAGAACAAGAACAATGCAAGAAATTAGCCTAGATTTTCAGGCTCCTAACCCATGCTAACTGCACCTGCCTATAACTGCACACCTGTTCCCACCAGGGCCTGCTCTCCCAGATTAATTCCTGGAAGGTAAGAGCTCCCCCGAGCCTTGCAAACTTTTGGTGCCTCTGTGTTGTTAGGTGGTGGGCAGGTTATAATAGAGCTAGTCCTCGGTGTGGGTTAGTCTGGTGATGAGGTGGTTGTTAGTTTGTTAACATAATAACCCATGCATGGTTGTAGCAGACTTTGGACATGATAAATGTACCAGAACTAGGCCATAGATTGTCTTACTCTTAGCTCTGCAGTGTAGATAAAGCAATATCTCTGCATGTATTTTTGTACTAACATGGTGAAAAACTCCAGAATTATGTAGTTCTAATTTTAATCCCACTGCATGTCTTTCCACAGGAACAAACCATAGAGAATTGTAGGGTTTGTGTGTGTGAAAATGTAACATAACATAACTATGTGCAAGTTTCTCCTTTTTTCATGTCCTAATTCTCTTGTCAACTTTGATATTTTCTTATCAACTTTACAAACAAACCTTTTATCTGCAATCTTTTCCAATATCCTGTATCAATATCAAGGTTTTGTATTCAATACCACACAACCCTCCTTTGCTTCATGGTTATTTACTCACCTTGTAATTTGTCTGTTTTTTTATATTTCTAATTTTTACATGTTGCAGAAGTTTGTAAAGTACATGGATGAAAAAAACAAGAAAGTCAATTTTACATGATCATATTTTATATTTATGTTATGATCTTTTCTTAATCAGGAGAAAGTCAGTGATGTTGAAAAGTTGAGGGAGAAGATCAGGAAGCTGGAAGACGAGCTGCGTATGTCGAGAAGCGAGAGAAACGCCGTCGCCTTACGCGAGAAGGAGACCTCCATGCTGTTGGACAGGCACGAGAAATCTGTCGTCTCAGAAATCAACGATGAGTGTCAGAAGAGTGCTCAACTGTTGGGTACTGCTCCCAGGAGTGTGAGAGTACCAAGGTAGGGGGAGGTTTTCAATTACTTAGGTTTTAGCTTTTGGCGTACTACAGCCTTTTTTAGGCCATGGGGCTAATGAGTTGTTATCCACTGTGTCTAGGGCATGGTATTGGAAGGCGGAGCCCATTCCTCTCCTTCCACTCAGCAGTCTTATACCTCCCCAACTGAAATAATGTACCAATTTTAAACCTGGAAGTCATGTAAGGACACAATGTCTACTAGCCAGGAGTAGAATCTCTAACGTCTCAATCTTGTGTCCGCTAGCTTATCCACTTGGCTATTCAATGAGAGTTGTAACTGTGCTGTAACTACAAGTTTATGTTGTTATTTTCAGTGGTGATCAAGAAGATGATGAGTTTGACCAGTCTCTGGACATCAGTGAGAACAGAGGCCAGAGTCCACACAAGTCCAGGTCTGCCGTGTCTGAAGCTCTGGTAAGTTTGATGTCTTTTCTTTTATCTCCAGTAACTTCTGCTAAGCCCACACCAAAAAAGTTTTCTAATTTTTCTTGATAGAACTGAGCTGACAGCGAAAAATGACAGATAACCAAAGCCCAAATCATCAATATTGCAAGGTAGGGATTGTATGCTGATGAAGTTAATTTGTACCCTTCCAGGCTAATCTCAAAGCAACTAACGAGGACCTCCGGCAGCTTGTGACGGGACTGCACGAGGATATGGCATCACAGAAGAAAGCAACTCAGCAGGTCAACAAAGAAAAGGTACAAGAACACAATTATTGAACTATCATGAAGAAGTTGTCACATTTGTCCTTGCTTTTATGTCAAGTTATGTTCAAGGCAATATATCAAAGCTGAAGATTTATCATATCTGAAGATTTATCAAATCTGAAGATTTATCATACATGTATCAATTAAGACTGGCTTTTTCTTTACTCTTCAAGGAGAGAGAAGTAAAACAGCTAAGAGAACTGTACCACAGTGAGAAGGAAAAGGAAGTGGAGACCATGAGAGAACGACTCATTCAGGTATGTCATGAAAAAACAAAATATGGGAGTCTGAAATCTCTAATTCCTTGTTATTTCTGTACTGCATACAAGTGACAAACTTCTTTCTTTTTTTGTGCATTAAAATTTGGTGTTTTTCTTTTCCAAAAGGATCATTTGGATGAGATCAGTAAACTCCAGCAGGCCGTGAAGAAGGACAAAGATGAAGTCTCCTCCCTGCAGCACAACATCATCTCTAAAGACGAGGAGCTGAGGGAGATCCAGCGCAACATGACGGCCTGGAAGGACGCTACCATCAAGAAACTGGCCAAGAAGTTTGAACAAGAGATGAACCTTGAACTGGAGAAGTAAGTGCCGTACATGGTTTCAGCCTCTGAGATTCAGTTTAGTCCTGAAATCAATGCATACTGTTAGTGACTCTGCCTCTGGGCCAAGAGGTCTTCAGTTCAAATCCCACCAGTAACTTTTTAACACATTTACTAGTACATGAGCTGTCAGTGTATTGTATTTCTAAGGTTGAGCTACTGATTTAGATATAAAGACATTGTAGACTTAGATTACATTGATCCATTGTTCGGGAAACGGTTAGTGATTCTTACCTTGACACATGCATTAACATTACAGCATAACATTACAACATGACAACACATTCACACATGATGTTGTATTTCTGTTTCCTCCCAGACGGCAGCATGAGAAGGACAGGCAGGCCCACTCCTCACAACTCAGGAGAATAGAAGAACTGGAGGAGGAAGTTCAGAGACTGTCGGTAGTCAGGAAAACTTTCCAGGTATAACTAATATTTTGTAAAGCACTTCTTCGCACCTTTATTCTTTTTTTACAGTTTGATGAAGTTTGTTGTTTTATAATGTCACTAAAACCTCTTTTTTTTCCCCAGAGCACACCGAGTACACCGTCACGTGTGTCCGGCCCGTCCAGTTCGTCGCAGTCAGGAGGAGACGCCAGCACGATCAAACTGCTGCGTCACCTGCAGGAGAGGGTCAAGCAGCTGAGGGTGGAGAACAAGGAGCTAAGGAGGCTCAGCGGGGAGGGGGGTGACGCCATCAACGGGAACGGCACCCCTGATGTTGTGAGTCTTTATACTGTGACCTGTATGAGTACTTTTGAATTGTTGTGTTATCCTTTTTGAAGGTCATTTTTCTTTTTCATTTTAAGGGCACCATTTTGGGTGACCTTCAGTTCGCCTTGGTGCTGGATGTATCTCTAGGTAGTCAATGATGATTGAAAGAGAATGCTTCTTTCTAGATCATGATGGCATTTCAATTTTAACATATTTTTAAGTTATAGAGATGGTTATAGAGATAATTACTTTAACCGGTTAGGTAATACATTATTACATGTCGTTTCTTACAAAACCATATACATGTACTAGTATCAGCCTATCAAACTTGAAAATCTACCCTAAGAAAAATAGCCCACGGCCATCATCTGGACCACAAAACTGATATTTCCTGTTGAGTTCCTGACAGGAAGGTATGTTTTGTAAAGACTTTGATTGACAAGTGTGAACCTCTCCCGTTGCCAGGCCACCCTTCAGGAGGAGGCTATCCTGCGGGAGAGTCCGTACGTGCAGAACCTGGAGCGCAAGCTGAAGCACATGGACCGCCAGCTCAACATCGCCGAGGAGCGCGCCCAGAAGAACACCGCGCTGCTCGGACAGAAGATGGTGGAACTGACCAAACTACAGAACCAGCTGACCCACCAAACCAAGGTAGAGCCGCGTGGACAGAATCGGCACTAGTACCGTAGCGCCGCCTTGGAAACACGTGTGCTACCACGCATGTAGGTTTGCTTCGCCAGCGGGACACGGCTGCGACTTTTGCACGACCTTGTAGTCACCTTCAATCCATCAATGCCATCACTTCTCTCATTGCCACTGGGTTATAGCCTGGTGTCCAAACTTATTTTAGCTGCCGAGTCTCTTTTGTTCTCTTCTCAAATAGTCGAGTCTCTTTCGTATGGGGGAGGGCGAAAGAGACTTGGCAGCTAAAATAAGTTTGGACATCAAGCTGATAAGGTGAAGTAAGGGCAGTTTTAGACACCATCCATCCAAACAACCACAGAAGAATGTGTTTCTCAGAAGACACATGGAAGAAGGAAAGAAAGAAAACAGTTCAGACTCCAGAATAATGGATTTTTCCATTTCTGGGGTGTGTAGTCAGTGGATGATGTAAAGCCTTCTGTGATTGGTTGACTCCTTCACTCATTCATTCAGCGCATGCTAACAGCCATTCAGATTGATGCATGATCTTGGGTGATACTTTGGAGGGAAAATCATTCAGAGAATTTTAGACTAAGCTTAATTGCAATTTTACAATTCACTTTGAAATATGAAATTTATGTTTTAGGCTAACATTTTGACATACATACTAACCAAAAAAGTCCTTTTTTTTAAGTCCATAACTTGGGGCATATATATATATCTCACTGAAATTTGCACATCATATATATAAGAGGATTATGAATTGACTTTACTTGATTTTGTTATACTTGATTTTACTAATATTTCTCCACCTTTTCTTCCAGGAGTATCTACATTTGGAACGTTCATACTCGGATATGCAGAAGAGATATCACAGAGGAGGTCATAGATAACAAACATAGAAAAACAGGAATTTTTATGCAGGTAAAATCTACTTTAGCATAATTCCACCAGGTCACATATATCTACCACCCTGAAAAAATGCATCTAAACAGATCTCCAGTGTAACTTCAGCCAGTAAAATGCACTTGAGTACTCTTGCTGCACTTAGAGATCTCACAAACACACTGTTTTTTTCAAAGTGGCACATATATGTAATCTGCTGGATAAATGTTAATGGAGGTTTTTAATTTGCAAGTCTTTTTGTAGCAAAGTATAATTATTCAGATCACAAAGAGATTTTGATATTTAATGAACAATTACTCGTACACAGAAAAACAACTTGTTTGTTTACATATCTACAGTTATGGAGCAGATTTCTAGCTAAATGATGTTACCAATATTCGGTATCAAAAGACTGTGTGTAATGTATGTATATGTTGTTCATGTATCTGGCTTGTATATTATCCATGTTGATTCTCAATCAGTATTGCTGCTTCTCAAATGACATTTGGAGATTTTAAATACTTTTATCATACTTTGATGAAAGATCTGGAAGGTTGTACGTGTGTTGGATGATTTTATACATTTTTTTTTGAAAAACCTCTGCCATATATATGCTAGGAAGAAAGGATTGATAATAACCAATAAAATCTGACTATTCTACAATGCATGATGCTGAAGTGTTACCAGTAACAGTACAAAGTATTAATCAGTTAAGAGATTCATATTTAATTTAAATCATGATTTCTACATTGTTATAAAAGGATATGCTAGAGGGAGTGAAAATTAGCATTTGTAGGGTAAAGGGACCATGATACATTTTCTAAAATGGCATTTTTTTAAACCATTTTATCTCACATATCATGACCGTATTTTGGACATGCCTTTGACAAAAGCTACTTTGGAATAGATAAGTTTTAGAGGAAGAACAGGTCACTCCCAATGATATAATCCTATGAAAATTTGTAATAAAACCCTTCACAAGGCCATGATGTGAAAGTAGTAGGAGATGAGCAGTCAGCCTCACAGTTGATGGATGTAATCTTGGGATGAAAGCTATCGCTCTACCATAAGTCTTGTATTTTCATGACAATGTGTGTATATAGTGGAGATGTTGATTACTTTATGGGACAGAACAATACACAGGACAGTATGGAACAGCACAGGGAGTTTGGGAATAGGTGAAGGATAACCTTTAAGAAATAACCTAGGAATGAACTGTACTATACTGAAATTCTATTTTTATTAAAGGACTCTGGAATCATATACACCAGCATCTATTCTGTTTTCTGTTGGTTTTGACTTATAGGGGATGGCATTGTATTTTTGGTATTGATTTTGTCATATACATGTCATGCTTAAGGGTTTGTGTATCTAATACTGCAGCTCAGTCATAATTTCTGACTATCCTTGCATATGATTATCTAATCAGCTCCTTTTATTTGTACTTAATGAAGAGAAAGGGAGATAGTCAAAAAGGGTGTTGGAAAGTAAGACAACTATACACTGATCACTGGAGATAATTATTATCTTTTGTTGGTCAATCAAAAAGGTGTGCCCAGGAAAATTACTCTCCAAGCAAAGGGTTACGCCTCACATGTTTTTGATGTGTTTTAGGCATTTTTATTGGGCTGTGTATTTTTCTACTGGTATCTTTTTTTTTACACCAGCCCAATGGATATCTATAAAAGAATAACGTGATGACCCAATGTACGTGATCCTTTAATAAAATATCAAACAAGCGTCCTGTAAAAGACAACCGTCGGTGGTATAAACATTGGTTTTCGCCCTTCTCAAAAGGTGTGTCTCTGCAAAATATTCAGTGGTATTTTTAAAGCGATCCCCTGACAATTCTTAACGACGCTTACATAAGCCATGACCAACACCTGTGCAAATGCGCACACACTATCAGACAATCGGGTCTTCTTTGTTCAACGAACAGCAGACAATGAAAATGGCAGATGGAAAATGTCGGAATCTACAAATGAACAATTTACAAACATCGACGTAGCTATAGAATCCAGAAGTTTTCACCGATTGTCTTACGAATTACAATGAGAATTACGCAAGATATCCCTTGAGACAATCCGTAATGGTTTGTTTTCGCTGAGGGCAGCCGGAGAGACCAGTTTTCACTTGGAAGTCAGAAAGATGCTCAGGTGTGGCGAGCTCGCTGTTCTGGGAGAGAAAAAGGGACGCATCCTTCAGTCTAAAGCTCACGTACACAACAAACACCTGCAAATCGAACTGGGCATACTGGAGCAAGAGCAGCGGAGGGCAGAAGTTCAACTGAGGTAAGAACATTTGTAGCTGTTTCAGAAACTTGTTGGTCGAAGGATTTACGTAAGATACTAGTAATGTCCTTGGTAAGATACATCGAGTTGACTGGAGTGATGCATGCCATTCCCATCTTGATATTTTCACCGGAAAGTTCTGTGTAAGTTAGAATCATTATGAACACATTGTTAAACTTCCAACGTTAAATGTCTTGACCTATAGTCGTATTTAAAACGGATAGATCGTCATTTAGACCAAGGAGGTTATATAACGGAGGTTATATAAATGTGAATTGCTATTCGAGGTCTTCAGGTAGAAAATTTTGGTATGACAGAATCCCTCAAGAAACTTTTTTTGGGGAAAGGGTAGTTCATTAATTTCGTTAAGTTTGATTTTATAATTTTGGGTGCTAAGGACTTTTTGTTACGCTAACGAATGTAATTAAGTAGACAAAGTAATTAGACGACGGAGTGATAATTAGCCAGTGTAACGCAAAAAGAAAATACTTGTGTTGTCGTGGTAGTAAAGCAAGGAAAATATCCGGTTTCTCGACCGACCCTAGTAGTAGAAATCTTAGCCTCTACAGCGAAACCTAACAAAATATAGAATCTCTTCGAAACATACCCCATTTTTTCTAGTTCTGGACCGTAATTGGGATCTTCTGAAGTATTTTTTCTCCTCTGTTTTTCCAGATCAAAGCAGGAACAACTTTTGCGTCAGTTTCAAAGCCTCCGAAAACGCAGCGCCGAAATCAGGAAAGATCTGGAGAGCAGAGAACGTTCACCCCGAACGACCTGCGATGGACCGACTCCAGTGTCGTCTGCAAGCACCGCAACGTCGTCCGAAGGACACCCTAGCGGTTGTGTATATAATTGCAATAAAGATGTACTAGTATTCCCGGCTGGAGCAAAAACCGCCAGTTCAAGAAAGAGATGGTCTGTCGCAGCTTGTACACTGGGGGCTTCACAACACATACAGCGCCTGACAGACCCATCTTACATCAAACGACGTTTCAAAATCGCGGAAGAGGACGAACACCTTGCTCCCAAGAATGAGGCCGTATCAAGGCGCCGTAAAAGTCTCGACCCCACAATGTTAGCAGCCATCTTGGATGTAGACACCTCTACTGTCAACCTGGAAGCGCAGGCCTATGCCCGAGTGCGAGCGTCGCCCAGCCTTCTTCAAAAGTCTTTGGAACTCGACGGTGAAGAGGGCGACCGAGGGAGGACAGTGCCTACGGTGAAGCAGCGCAGAGCAAGCGTAGCTATTCCTGGCTGCTGGCCTAGTAAAACGACCGGCACACGGCTCCCACCGCTAACGTCCGACAAGGCGACTGGTACGGCGAATGGTGCGGATTTACGTCAACAACGAAGGCATTCTCTTCCCGCAATAACTGTCACCTGTGACCCACAAGATACGATAGATTCGCAAGGCGGCATGGCGTCCTGTCTAGGCCCAGGTATCAAGTCCAAGCCAAGAAAATCGTCAGTTACGTTTGCTGAAAGCAACATTATAAAGGAACATATTGAAGAAGAAAAGTAGTTGGCTAAGGCTATAGCTAAACAGTCCCATACGAGAATCACAGTCTCTGCCACATAGGGCCGACTCAGGTCTGTTGCAATATGTTCTTTCTGAGGATTAGTTTCTCTTCTGCGTAGTGCATCAGTCTAGCTTCTCCTGATTTTAGCTGCCTGGACAGTGGTCCTCCCAGTGCTCTATGTCAACTTCCCTCTTGATATACCGCCTATACTGCAATGTACAGTAATGTATAGTTTCTTGCATATAGAAAGCAAATCTAGCAAACTTCCTGTATTTTGTACTATGTTCGAAACATGTTGCCATACTCTCAGTCTGTAACGTCTGCGATTGTCGTGCAATAAGATCTTCGTCTTGCCGTGCGAAAAGTTCTTCTTCTACTACATTCTACTACTAGTATTATGTAGAAGCTAGTGGAGGTAAGTCCTGTCTATCAGCCTAGTATATGGTCATTAACATGTTATGTATACTATTCGACTTGTCTGTCATCATTATTACCAGTACTAGGTCACTAGGGACATTAGATTGTTTTATTACCTTCATCAAGTTCTCAGTATGGGTCAATTAAGATGCCAACCAATACACATCCCCTGCAAACTGATGCACCACAGTCTGATGCACGAGTTTCTTTTTTTAAGAAAATTGTCAACCATCCAGTACGGCACACTTCCCTAACCTTTTTTTAAAGGTTTTAGACATTTAAAAATGTCTCGCTCATTGAATACAATCGAAACGGTTCAACATGATGACGTCCACCAAAAGAAAAAGTTGGAATTGTTTTCAACTGGCCAATCATCAGGAGTACGTCAGCACAACGTACTGCGCCTGCGCGAAATGCGGATTTTGAACAGTTTTCGAAGGATGTTTGGCGAGAATTTTGCCCATTGCAGACGATATTCTTTCCGACACAACATTTGTCAACTATAGACAGGATGCCATCCTCGAATACGGGAACACGACCTTAAACAGACGTTCTGACGAAGTATTACGCAATGCATCAAAGGTTTCGCGCAGTGGACCTGCCATCACAGGTGTTGTCCCAAGAGACAGGTATTGCCCATGTTACACAATCGACTAACGAGATGAAATTGTATCTTATGGGGTGTCATTTCACAGACAATAGAAACACCTCTTTGTTATTAAGATCGGGCTGATTAAGTGGTTCCAACGGAGCAAGGAGGTTAAAAGGACAGGTTGAGAGTACAGCCATTAGAGTTAAAGATGTCACGGGAAGCGGACGTGGCCGGCCCGGGCGGGGAGGAGAAAGAGACGCGGGCTCTTCGCGAGAAGACCCGGGAGAGAATGCGGCATCTGCAGTCCGATGTGGGCGCGTTAGAGCAGCGGACACGGAGGGTCGACGGCGAGCTCAGGTAAGAACCATTCACACTACACTGCTTCAGTATGCGTACATCAAAAAAAGAACGGACCTGCTCACATTGCCCTGTCTTACGATCGTCGACGTCTTACTATCGCAATCTAAGGGATAGTTGACATCGTACGTGCATGCTTCAAGCGAAATTCAGCTGCCGTGTTACCGGGAGGACTGTCTTTTATCCTTGTTGGCGGTTGATTATGCCACAGCCTGCTTGAAAATCGACGACATTAGAATTGTAGGACGACTTACGATGTGACCGGGCCCTTTCAAACATATTTTACGGCATTAGGAGACTGCAAATATCTACATCGAAGGCACCATCACTTACTGCACTACCAGTAAAGTTACTTGAAAAATACATTGGAACACTGGGATAACAGGGGTGCTATATACCCATCGATTCACCATATAATGAAATTGTGAGGTACACCCAGTAGGTGTTCTTGGAGGGCAATCAATTTTATATGCAGTGTATTAGTAGAAGAACAATATCTACTTCATTACCATCAACCACAAACTGTTTGACACCTGTTGATATACTCAAGAGAGCTATTCTTTTCCCCGAGAGGGAGCTGTCATTTGTCATGACCAGTTTTGTCTCAGTTTTATGCATTTGGACATGCATTATGCAATTCTCGTGCATAATGTTCTTGTTTTATTACATTCAGGTACGGAGGTACTGTTTTGGGTGACGGTTAAAACATTTCTCTCCACGTGAGTTTCCTTGTATGTTCGCACTACGTGTACTAGGTATATGAATTTCACAACAGAAGGCGTTGTAACCACAGATAGACCTTATGGTCAAGTAGGCAGTCTGAATGATCCTCCAATAACGAAATTGTCTGTTCTTTCTGAAGATCCGAGCAGTGCCTGCTTCTGTGCCAGTTTCGGAAGCTCCGAAAAAACATGGACAAAGTCATCGACCTTTCAAGTGGACGAAGGCGCGTACGCCGAAAAGCCCGAAACTTTGCTGTGGCAAAGCTCTCTACAAGGAAGTTAACCGCTTCAACTGACAAATGCACAGAAGAAGAAAATGGCGGAAAGAGAGGCACGAAAAACGTATCCCCGAGGCGTAAAGGAGAGGACCAAGCCGATGCCACAAAGAAAGACACATCGTCCGAGGGTAGAGAAAAAATCGGCGCCATTGCACGAAGAAGATCCTCACTTCCAGCGTGCGCAACGGAGTCGTTACCTCAGATACAGCACCAGAAAAAGTGTGCCAAATCCTGCAAACTCGTGCAAAGACGGAGGTACAGTCTGCCTAACATCCAACCTCACGACAACGAACGGCACGAACTTTCGAAAATCGCGGAAGAATCAGAAGAAGAAGCTGTGTTGACAGCCACTCTGCAGAGTATGGCGAGTCTACTGGTGTCGGAGGAAGATGTAGAAACTACTACAACTCGCAGGAGGATGTCAGTACCGGTAGAGTCTTTACAACGACAGCTGCAGCGGCCCAAAGGCTCTCCAACAACCAGCAAACATGCCTATAGGCGTAGGCACAGTCTCCCTGCAATCAAACCTTCAAAGGACCAAGATGAACTTCAAACATTCGTGGAATTCGAAGGAGAAGAGCATGACCTAAAAAAAGAAACCGAGGAAGCAGTGCAGACAGTGGAAACAAGGGATGAAGCCATGAAAAAGGCATCTGCACTTCTCCGTGAAAGACTGTTCCCCAGTATTGTGACACCTGTCCTCGGCGTTAACAATTCCTCCGTTCAGCCAAAAGAGAAGATACAACTACCGCCCACGTTGGAGTCAGAAGGAGCTCTCGACAGCGACCTGGACAAGGAATCGCTTCTCAAGACAAGTAATCGCAGGGCAACCGTAGTTTGTATTGACGGGACGGCGGTGACAGGAAGCCACGCTGAACACTTCCACAGGAGGCGGTCGTTCCCTACGCTCTGTGCCGAGCACTGTAAACCGCGACTCGGTCCGGAGCTACGCACAGGCGACATGGCGTCATGGCTAGGGCTCGGTACCAAGTCCAAGACTAGAATATATTCCATGTCGGTGGACGGTGAATATATCATTAAAGCAAGTTTAGGGCCCGGTAGCATACGTCCTACGATCCGCTGAGAGCCGCATTCTCGGTGTAGTCATGTGTCCTGCAAAAGTCATCTCTCTTGTTAGGTGTAGAATGTTCCTTGTCGAAATTTGCAGATTTGAAACATGTTCTATTAATTGGAAAGTCGGGCCGCCCAGAATTCACACGTTCATTATGTAAGTAACACCGAACAACGCTATATATAGCATACGGCGTAATGGATTACCAGAAATGTCACTTGGGATTACGTTGATTGTAATAATAAGTTTCCAAGCTAAGCTATTTATTACCTTGTCTTCAGGTCGGCTCAGTGTAGTGGAAATGTCGGCCTCCTTTTACAACCTGGCCTCATTTGAGTCTAATTATGAAAGGACCTGGTATTAGAAGGACGCCTTTCTTACATAACGTTTACAGTACGTTTGTTGTTACATAGCAGTAGATGCCATATATTGTACCTTCTACAGTTGTTGTGCAATAAAGTTTCCGTAATACGTGTATCATAGTTACATTACGTATTGTGTCGATTGTTATTAATGCTAAAGGCATCCAGTGCATGCAGTTTTGGAAACCAGATTTTTCAAAGTCAATATTCTAGTCACTTGTCTACATACTAAGCTGAAACAACACTGTCCCAATGTATATCGACATTGGGACAGTGACGCCCCAAATTCTGACAAAAAACGGTTACTGGAAGGACCTGGATTGATTTTAGGTACCACCCAGAAAATAAAGGACTAATATTGGGGTACAAGTCAGAAATGCGAGTCGTACATGTATACATTCCCCACGTAGGCCTTCGCGCCACTTCTCACCAAAGAAAAAAAATGATATAACATAATGTGAAAAATAATTCCATGTAACCTTTTTTGGGAGGGGGGCCAAAACCAAATGTTCTATCAATAATAGTCGGAAGTGACGTCAAACGTTTGGCGTGACCGGAAGTGACGAAGGGGCGTCACCTTGTCAGACAGGTTTATACTGGCGTCTCTAAGTTCAGATTTACCCGTCGAGGTACAGGTAGGCACCCTTTTTGCTTTGTTTCTTTGGTTTTACAGGTGTATGTGTACATGTATGTATGATATATCTACTCTTCACGCAGAGGTTTGGGTTTTGGCTTATGGGTTGACGTAAAAAAAGATAACAGTACAAAAAAGAAAGTCCGATAAAAAAGCCTAAAATTTGAACCACGCCAAAAATAAGCCAAAACCCAAACCTCTGCTTGGAGAGTATAATATATATGTATGTACGTGTATACGCGTATATATGTATATGTATGTACGTATATATGTCTGCCTGTTTGCGTTTTCCCTTTGAGAAGTGATTGATAAAACATGCTGAATTCAAGTAGTCACAGTTTAAGATCAATATTTACCTAGAGCCACGTGCACTGTCTGTGTCTCCCTTTCATTATATTTGGCGTTAAAAAAACAATTTACTCCAAACAATTACTGTAAAAACTGTTGATATAAAAACTGTTGATAGAATGGCCTCCTTAAAACGACAGGTAAATGGCAAACACGTGAGTCATTGCACGGTTGGTTTTGTGCAGTATCTGCGCCCAATCCTGCCTTTCTGTCACCACACAGGTAATTACCAGACTGTGAATGTGCTGTTTGTTTAAGATTTGGCCCCAGGTAAAATTAATCAACGTGCTGCCGACCCCAGGTCAAATTGTTGAAAGGGAGTACATATTCTCCATTGGGGTGGAACATCCTGACTGGTCCAACCTTCAAAATTACCCTTTCTGTATCCTTAAGGCAGCTTTACTGTGCCCTTAATACAAACGAAAATAGGAGAGTTCAGAATGTTGTTACCTGTATTTTACTGTCAGAGTTCCTTACATGTTGTATTGTGGATTTTCGCAAATCTCATTTTCAACTGACCAGCGTATATAGAGAAATTAGCTATAGCATAATTCAACTAGAGGTCGGAGATCTCATGTCTTCGTCAGAGGTACATCGTTCTAGAGAAATTAACATGCGTATTCTTCACTCTTTTTAATAATCAATTTGGTCTAAAGAACAAAAAAATCTCTGTACTATTTTTATGGTACAGAACACCCTGAAACGGTTTGCCGCAGATTATACAGATGCGTCGTCACCCGTGTTAGGCCCCCCCCTACGTTATTTGAGTTTGGACTGTTACTGGGAAAAAAAACGTTCAAGAAATTCTTACTGTGTTGAAAGTGTCACGACAGCGCCGCAAAATATAATAAGAGAAGATGTTATCAAGGAAAGAATCAGAACAGGGTGACTATTGCTGTTAATTTGTCTTTATGACAAATAGAAGACTTGTTTCTTGTGTTCTTTGTGTCCTATAACATTTGTACTTCTACAGTTAGTATATTCCAAATCTAGGCATCTCGTTTTTCGGCCCTTCGTGTTTTATTGCGCGCTTGCCTTAAATTTAAGGTAATTAGATTTAAGGTCTCCAGTGGACGTCATCCATAGCAATTACTTGGTGTGGCCGTAGAAAATAACCTGACATATGTCCAACCTATCCTCCCCCTGCTGAAGTTATAGTACAATCCCTCAATGTAACGTCATTTGATCCCATCCCATTATGGGGTTCCCCTGCTATATCCAGCTGTCGGCTGTCTCCAAGCAGATGTAGGTGGGGGATTTCTAAACACAAAAGGTCCTATTACGGGGACATAACGACCTCCACGACTCTCATCTTTGAACTCAATCTTGGAGACCACGACAGTAAGATGCCTATCAAATTTCATTAACTTCCATCCACACATACAAAAGTTATCCTGCTCACAAGAAAAATTAACAAAATGCCCCCTGTAGTCACAACGAACCCCCCCACGAAGCTCAGTAACGAACTTAACCTTGGTCCCGACAATAGTAAGCACCACACCAAGAATTATAATCAACATTTTACAAATACTTGAGTTATCTTGCTAACAAGCCACAAACACAAAAGGTGCACTAACGTAACGCACGGACCCCCCACGAAGCCGAAACTTGTACTTGACTTTGGCCTCAACAGCGGTAATCTGCCTGCCAAAAATCATGGACGTCGAATCATGCCTTCCAGAGTTATATCGCAAAATCCGCAGTTCCCCACACTCCGGCGAGACAATTTCATAGTCCTTCTGACGAAGACAATTAAAGTAGGACAATTCAAGTAGCTAGGTGATTCAATTAAGTTTATGTTCTCGTAGAAGAGGAGTATATATTATGGTTGTAACTGTAGATTGACATCAAGGTCAAGTTGGTGGATCTAAAAACGAATACGGAAATTCAAGGCCATGTTCCCATAGAAGAGGGCATAAGATATAATGAATGTTGTAACCACAGATTGGCGTTGAGGTCAGTTTGGTGCTTCTGAAGTAAAGAAGAAGTGATTCGAGATATGACGAACGCTGAAACGAAATATTTTCATCATTTCAGACACCACCATGGCCAGATTATTCACCATCGTAACCGTCATCCTCACACTGTCTACCGTTGACTACTCTACCCTGGCGTTCCACGCATGTACCAGTGCTGGAGCCGGCCTGGGGTGTGCCTGTAACAGCTTCAACACCGTGGACTGTTCCAACAGAGGGGTGGGGGACGTCCCAGACCAAGTCCCTCCCAACACCGTCATCCTGTGGCTCAACAACAACAAAATCCAGGGGCTTGTACGGAACCAGTTCCCTGGCCTGTCGTCTCTTCAGTCATTGTATCTCGGTAACAACAGCATCTCGTACATCGAAAAAGGTGCGTTTTCGGGACTGGATAGTCTGACGCGTCTCCAGCTTGATAGCAACAGGCTCTCTTCAGTTCAAGCCGGTATGTTTGAAGGAATGCCGAACTTAGACAGGCTAATCTTAAGTAACAACGTCGTACTTGATATAGAGAAGGGGTCGTTTTCTTCGCTTCCCAGACTGACTACTCTGGACCTGTCCAATGGATTATTAGTTAGCATAGAAGTCGGTTATTTTACACCGTTGGCAAACTTGCAGAGGCTCCACCTATCGGGCAACCCTATACAGCAGATTAGGAACGGCAGTTTCCAGGGCTTGGCACAGCTGCAAGACTTATACCTTGTTGGTACCGATCTTCTTGAGATATGGCCTGAGACGTTCTCTGGGGCAGCTAACCTCCAGTCGTTGTACGTCAGAGACAGTAAGCTCGGAAGTATCGCTCCCGGTAGCTTTTTCACGCTACCACGCCTGAATCACTTGGACATTCGCAACAACACCTTACAAGTCATCGAAACGGGTACCTTCACCAACATGCCGAACATTGTGTCTGTCGATCTTAGTTACAACCCTTTGTCGACGTTGAAGAGTCTTGCTTTCGATATTAAAGGACTCTCAACGCTCCGCCTCTGCAATCTTAGCAACGCGCGCTTAGAAAATGTCGAGGAAAACGCCCTTGGTGGAGAACCGATTTGCGAAGACTTTATTTGTGATCGTACCCTGCAGTTAGATCTGAGTAACAACCGCTTGGAGACGCTTCCAAATTCCCTCTGCAATCTGTCTCAGATACCCGGCATATTCCTCGGTGAGGGGGTCGTGTTTTCTCTAGCCGGTAACCGTTTTAGCTGTGACTGTAGGCTCAGGGAGTTAGCCTCTTGTGTGCCTCTCAAATGGCACATTCAGTGTCAAACGCCGCCGGTCTTACAGAACAAGTTTCTCCACACGATTTCTGTGGAAGATCTCAGCTGCATTTCACCACAGATAGATAGATTCATTCTTGAACAGGACGGCAAAAACGTGACGATGTTTTGTAACGCTACCGGATTTCCCGAGCCAGTTATTTCTTGGAGAACCCCAACATTGCAAGAGGACGCAAGAACTAGAGAAGACACCGGGCGCCAAATCAATGGGGAAGGAGCTTTGACGATCCTAGATGCGAGCAGTGAAGACGGTGGGACTTACGGATGTACAGCGACCAATCCTGGAGGGCAAGACTCGCGTCTCGGGTATCTGGCTGTCTTCCAAGTCCCCGCTGAGGACTCTCCTAAAACATCTTACTTGGGCCGGATCATACCGTCAGATGTCGCGTGGGGTTTGATTGGAGCAGGCGTCGGTTCATTTTGCACGCTTTTAATCTGTATCACTGTTTTCTGCATTTGTAGAAGACGTGGTTCTAGATCCTCTCATGAAACCAAGGCGACCGCGGAGGGACACGAGATGTTGACAGTTTGCAGTGACGCGCCACGAACTGATTTCAATGAATATGAAGCCGGTGATGATGATGATGATGATGATGATGATGATGATGATAATGACTACGAAGTGCCCCGTCCTCACCCCAGTAAACTGACAGCACCGTTTAGCTCTGGTGACCAGTTGTATCTGGACCTTGGAAAGGAAGGAGATGTAAGACCTGTCAGTGCCGGGCCACCCCAGAGACCGCCCCCCTCCCCCTCCTACCCATAGCTCCAGGCATGACATTGACAGTGGCTTCCATCAGGACTACACTCCCCTGGTTCGGGGAACGAGATCGTCATCGGCCAGGGTCTGAACCAACCGGGAAACGAGATCGGCCAGGTTCTGAACTAACCTGGGAACGACATTGACGAAGGTCTGACCCCCTCCCCAAAGAAGTGTTTGTCGATGATTGACACATGGCATCGTAGTAGCCTCCCAAAAACAAGAATTGGAAGTCCAGAATCATTTTTGTTCATTCAGGACACCCATAATTCTGAAACTTTCAACTCAGACAATCATACATACAGGCTCCATCGGACTGTAGCATATATGTCATTGTACAATAACATAAGTTGGCTGAATTCCACGGAAACATGGAAGTTGTCAGATATATTTTCTGTGACGTCATTAGCTTGACTGCTTGCAAAGGGTGTGTAACATATCATGTAAAATACAGGATCGGTAAATTATTTGTCATGTTCTGATAGGATTATTTCGCTGAGCTGGCTATTCCATCCGACTGAAGCAAAATAAGGCTGTTACAGTTCATTTCGACTCCAAGGCCACTTTGAGGGTTCATGTAAGTGCAATTGATAAGTTGGAAAAATAAATGGTGGTACGTGAAATGTTCTGACGTGAACCGAGTCATTAACATATTGAAATGGAATACCAAATGTCACATGTACTGAAAAACAATCAAAGAGAAAGAATAACGCATGACAGACTCATTGGCATTTACGCAACTACGTGTTCGTGTCAACACACACCAATAAATGGCTAAAAATCTCACATTTGGGGACTCGGTTGAAAATCGACAAAGACGATGTCGGTGATGATAAATAAAGTTAAATTGTCTTGCTGTATCGATCAGCAAATTACCTTAATTGTCTTATTTAATTAAAACGCGTCTCTTTATTGAATGAAAACAAAGCCAAAATGAGCAGGCCCGCATAAATATGGAAAGCAGGTTAGTGAACCCAATGATGTTATAACTTCGCTTTATATTCACTGAACCCTTTTCACCCGAGCATGCATATGTTCATGAGCTTTTAAATCAGTCTCAGATTTCTCCAATGCGAGGCTTACAAATACTCGGCTGAAAAACAGCAGACAGAAACCGGCGGCTGTCAGCATGGGTGGCGACTGAAGGTATGTGTATTTCTCGTTTTGCCTTGTTTTACCACCAATTCCTGTACATGGAGAAATGGCGGCGCATTTGTGCGTCTTCTACTAGGGTCCCCAGGTAGCGTGAAAAATAGTAGACATTGGCCAAATAGACTGAACAGCATGCCGAAGCAGTTAACCGTCTAGAGGGTCAATTCGCTACATGGGATAGTCTCTAGCCGGCTACGTCCTCTTGCATGCTACTAGTATTCAGTCTGGTGGTCAGACGACGTCCCTCTAGTTGTGGGCATTTCCTCTTTTAACCCACACCACGTTAGCTAGGGCGGGGCACAGAACTAGAAAGGCGCCTATTTTCCAGACGTCGACGGGCATAGTTTTCGGTATCATCTGTGGCTTTGTTAGGGACTGTGTGATATTTAGCGGGGGGTGGGTCGTTCGTCAGTGGATTTAATAGGTAAAAATATATTCCGCGAGCTTTGCCCAGCTAAAAAAAATTCCATGAACCCCCCCCACCCCCCGCTCAAAAAAAAATTCCATGACCCTCCCCCAGACGCCAAGAATATAAATTGGTCGAAAAATGACGTTTACGTGTTTATTAAACGATCTGAAGAAAGCGCTTTCGTACGGACGTCAGGTCTCCCGGGAGTCCCACTGATCTTTAAATCACTGCGGTACAGAGTTCTATAGCCAGCCTGATTTTTTTTCCCGTCATCTGTCGAGCGCCGAAGGCGGAAGGGTTCGTGCCGCAGGCGCTACAAGCCTAGGTGGGTCCGGGGCATGCTCTCTCGGGAAAATTTTTAAAGGATGATATAGGTTGAAGGGAAAATACCCTCCGTTAGCGTTGTTCCAATAAATTCACGAAATCCAGAATACTTCCCGGAAGACTGAAATCTCCGAATTCTTGTTTTCCATTGCTTAGAAGCAGAAATGGAGGACCATGAAGAACACGCAAACGGGAATGCGGGCGGTTTGACGGTCCCCGGGCACAAAAGGCAACTCTCTCCGCACGAGGACGTGGACGGTCTAAACGCCCCGAGGCTCCCCCCGAGGACCCCAAGGCGTCCACCGAGCCACGAGTACGAGGTGCCCGCTGAACCGACTGTTTCACATGCCCGCGTGCCCACTTTAGAGGTTCCCGAGCGCACATTGGAACTCTCTCGGCACGAGAACGTGGATGATGTGAACGCCCAGAGGATCACAGGGCGTCCCCCGGGGCACGAGTCGGACGCAGGTCGCTTGGAGGTCCCCGGGCACAAAAGGCAACTCGCCAGGCACGAGTGCGAGGACGTGGACGGTCTGAACGCCCCGAGGCTTCCCCCGAGGGCCTCGAGGCGTCCCCGGACCGATGAGTACGAGGTGCCCGCTGAACCCACTGTTTTACGTGCACACGTGCCCACTTTAGAGGTTCCCGGGCACACAGGGGAACTCTCTCGGCAAGAGAACGTGGATGATGTGGACGCCCAGAGGATCACAGGGCGTCCCCCGAGGCACGAGTCGGAGGCAGGTCGCTTGGAGGTCCCCGGGCACAAAAGGCAACTCTCCAGGCACGAGTGCGAGGACGTGGATGGTCTGAACGCCCCGAGGCTTCCCCCGAGGGCCTCGAGGCGTCCCCGGATCGATGAGTACGAGGTGCCCGCTGAACCGACTGTTTTAGGTGCCCACGTGCCCACTTTAGAGGTTCCCGGGCACACAGGGGAACTCTCTCGGCAAGAGAACGTGGATGATGTGAACGCCCAGAGGGTCACAGGGCGTCCCCCGAAGCACGAGTCGGAGGCAGGTCGCTTGGAGGTCCCCGGGCACAAAAGGCAACTCTCTCGGCACGAGTATGAGGACGTGGACGGTCTGAACGCCCCGAGGCTTCCCCCGAGGGCCTCAAGGCGTCCCCCGAGGCACGAGTACGATGTGCCCGCTGAACCGACTGTTTTATCGCGCCCTGCACGCGTGCCCACTTTAGAGGTTCCCGGGCAAACTGGGGAACTCTCTCGGCACGGGTTGGAGGACGATGTGAACGCCCCGGGGCACGAGTCAGATGCGGGCGGCTTGAAAGTCCCCAGGCACAAAAGGCAACTCTCCAGGCACGAGTACGAGGACGTGGACGGTGTAAATGCTCCGAGACTTCCCCCGAGGGCCTCAAGGCGTCCCCCGAGGCACGAGTACGATGTGCCCGCTGAACCAACTGTTTTACCGCGCACTGCACACGTGCCCACTTTAGAGGTTCCCGGGCACACAGGGGAACTCTCTCGTCACGAGAACATGGGTAATGTGAACGCCCAGAGGGTCACAGGGCGTCCCCCGGGGCACGAGTCGGACGCAAATCACTTGGAGGTCCCGAGGCACAAAAGGCAACTCTCTCGGCACGAGTATGAGGACGTGGACGGCGTGAACGCCCGGAGGCGTCCCCCGAGGCACGACTACGAGGACGTACCCGCTGAACCTCCTGGGTTACCTCCTCGCGTACCTGAGGGATACCTGCGTCACCTCCTACACACGGCGGACGTGATGTGGGCGGGGTTCGCGGGAGATCAGCTCGTCGACACGTCCTACACAGCGGAGGACGCCAAACAACGCGAAGAGCAGGAGAAACGGCGCTCTACGGGCTACAGATCTAGAGGTACGCCCAGCTGTTATCCCCTCCGTGTACGGTGTTTTTTTTTTCATTTCAGGGTGTCTGTGTCTGTTTGCTTGTGTTTTCGCAGTTATTTCCACATTGCAGGTATGTCGGGGCACTGACGTCGACAGGAAGAATATGTCCCAAAAGGTCCTAGAAAAGGTTATTGTGGAGATCATTCAGTACCAAGGACAGGAATGGTATTGCCAGTGTAAACATCATTCTGTGCCAAGGACAGGGATAGTAATGCCAAAGTAAACATCATTCAGTACCAAGGACAGGGATAGTAATGCCTGTGTAAACATTATTCAGTACCAAGGACAGGGATAGTAATGCCAGTGTAAACATCATTCAGTACCAAAGACAGGGATAGTATTGCCAGTGTAAACATCATTAATATTAAGGACAGAGATAGTAATGCCAGTGTAAACATCATTTAGTACCAAGGACAGAGATAGTAATGCCAGTGTAAACATCATTCAGTACTAAGGACAGGGATAGTAATGCCAGTGTAAACATCATTCAGTACCAAGGACAGGGATAGTAATGCCTGTGTAAACATCATTCAGTACCACGGACAGGGATAGTATTGCCAGTGTAAACATCATTCAGTACCAAGGACAGGGATAGTAATGCCAGTGAAAACATCATTTAGTACCAAGGACAGAGATAGTAATGCCAGTGTAAACATCATTCAGTACCAAGGACAGGGATAGTATTGCCAGTGTAAACATCATTCAGTACCACGGACAGAGCCAGTGTAAACATCATTCAGTACCAAGGACAGGGATAGTAATGCCAGTGTAAACACCATTCAGTACCAAGGACAGAGATAGTAATGCCAGTGTAAACATCATTCAGTACCAAGGACAGGGATAGTAACGTACTTGGCTAGATTTTCTATGTGTGACAGGGGCCTCTGTACTGACTGTGGGATTACATTCTCTACATATTTTCAGAGCGAGCAAGGAAACTGTTGGTATGGTGGAATTCTAATGAATCCCATTGGTTTGTCCTGGGCTGCGGGCTCCTGGTGCTGGCATCAGTTGTCGCCGCTGCAATCCTGACTACTCATCTTGTAGCTGGAAGCAAGGTACAGGAGGCTAAAAATAGATTTTCATTATCCTTAATGATTTTTTTTAGTTTATTTGTTTGTTTGCTTGTATGTATGTATGTATGCATGTATGTTCGTATATGCTGTTTAGCACAATAACTTGAGATACTATGGATAGATTGTCATGAAATTTGGTGGGTACTGGGTAGGCCTTGACCTAACAAAGAAATGATTAGATTTGGGGCCCCCTGGAGGCTTCCCTAGATACTGCATCAGAACTTTCCGTTTTGACATCTCATGTTTTGTCTGTCAGTGAGTAATCTGAGTATTTTTGGCTGGCAGGTAGCTCTTGGTCTCGAGGAGAATTGGTGTTGGTTTTGGCCCCCCCAGCCCCCCCCAGTTTTGAATGAAAAGTGGTCTGGAAGAAGGGCAAACAACAATGGAATATAGGGTGGTTTGATCACACAGTAGGTCGGTACGCTCTTTTATATTCCTTTATTTATATATAGGCGGTGCATGACTCAAACAATCAGCCAGGAGCAACACACCCAATGCCACATCCGCCATGGTTGACGACATTCTTCTCACCACGCGGGGAAAACAACAGCTTTGACTTCGTCAATTTGACTTCAAACTCGACACCTCTGGGATCAAACCAGAACATACCAACTACTGTGACAGTCACAACTTTGTCAACCACAGGTGAGCAAAGTCTGAAAGAACAAACAACCGCGTGATTTTGTTTCTGTGTTTCGTCAGTCGTCTCAGGTAATGGTTTGTGTTGTTTCGCCTGTGGGTTTGTGTGTATGCTTGCCCATATATATATCCAGTGGGTTGCAGGGAGAGTCATGGGGTAGGTATTTGGTTGCTTGATTGACATGTAAGGTTGGGTTAAACCTGGTTGGAATGTGACCCAGCACTCGATGGGCGAGAGTAATTGGGCAGTGAGTGGAGAAATTCAGGAGGTGGACTGTGTGCAATACCCAATTAAATTACGTCACACAATGTCCTTCACACAGAGCTAAACAAGTGCCTCGCGAAACCATGCCTACATGGGACCTGTGTGAACAAAGATGGTGGATACAAATGTACCTGCTCATCTGAATGGACTGGGCAGAACTGTCAACAAGGTGAGCTGCTAATATGCAGTTACAGGGCATCTTAAATGCCCTGCCATGTCTTCTTGTATGGAATAACACTTAAACTTTCTTGTGTTTCTGATATTCAACTTCTTTCAAACTAGTCGAATGGGTTTTCCCCATAACCTCCTTGGTTTATTATAAACTTCTTATATTAATAGTGTTACATATTTGAAAATTATTTGTATATTCCTTTTTATTTCATAGCAATAAACGAGTGTGCAAGTGAACCATGTCACCATGGACGCTGTGTGAACAAAGATGGTGGATACAACTGCTCCTGCCCCCCTGGATGGACTGGACATAACTGTCAGCAAGGTGAGCTGTTCTTGTGTAGTTTTTCTATTAACTGTGTGAGTTATTTCCATTAGTTTCATTACCTAAAATATACCCTACCTTTCAATTAAACAGATATAAATGAGTGTGCCCAAAATCCATGTCAACATGGAACCTGTGTGAACCAAGATGGTGGATACAATTGTACCTGCTCACCTGGATGGACTGGACAGAACTGTCAGAAAGGTGAACTGTTCTTGCATAATTCTTCTGTATCTAATCGTATTATATTTTGACTAGTTTTATTACATACAGTACCATTGTATCTTCCATTACACAGACACCAATGAGTGCACCAGCAAACCATGTCATCATGGAACCTGTGTGAACAAAGATGGCGGGTATAGTTGTACCTGTTCACCAGGATGGACTGGACAGAACTGTCAGCAAGGTGAGGTACAGGTGTTCTTGCGTAATTTTCTTTAATTTTATGGGTTATATTGGATTAGTGTCATTACCTAAAGTACACTATATCTTTCAATTACACAGATTTAAACAAGTGTGGCCAAAATCCATGTCAGCATGGGACCTGTGTGAATAAAGATGGCGGATACAAATGTACCTGCTCACCTGGATGGACTGGACAGAACTGTCAGAATGGTGAGCTTTTGTTGCGTTGCAAAGTGCTGCTGTCAGCAGGGTGACCTGGTCTGGCATAGTTTTTCACTTAACTATATTGGATTATTATAATTAGTTTCATTATCTGATGTAACGTAACGTAATATTATATCTTCTTATTTCGCAGACATAAAAGAGTGTGCCCAACACCCGTGTCAACATGGAACCTGTGTGAACAAAGATGGTGGATACAAATGTACCTGTTCACCTGGATGGACTGGACAGAACTGTCAGAATGGTGAGCTTTTGTTGCAAAGACTTGTTGCAAAGTGCTGCTGTCAGCAGGGTGAGCTGGTCTGGCATAGTTTTTCACTTAACTATAATTAGTTTCATTATCTGATGTAACGTTATATCATATCTTCTAATTTTGCAGACATAAACGAGTGTGCCCAACACCTGTGTCAACATGGAACCTGTGTGAACAAAGATGGCGGATACAAATGTACCTGCTCACCTGGATGGACTGGACAGAACTGTCAGAATGGTGAGCTTTTGTTGCAAAGACTCGTTGCAAAGTGCTCAGCTGTCAGCAGGGTGAGCTGGTCTGGCATAGTTTTTCATTTAATTAATATATTGGATTATTTTCATTATTTTCATTATCTGATGTAATGTTATATTATATCTTCTAATTTCACAGACGTAAACGAGTGTGCCCAACACCTGTGTCAACATGGAACCTGTGTGAACAAATATGGCGGATACAAATGTACCTGCTCACCTGGTTGGACTGGAAAGAACTGTCAGCTGGGTGAGCTGTTCTGGTGTAATGTTTATGTAACCATATGGGTTATTTTCATTCGTTTCAATTTACCTTCAGTATGCCATTTCTTTCCTTGGCGCAGACATCAACGAGTGCACCACAAAACCTTGCCTACATGGGACCTGTGTGAACAAAGATGGCGGATACAAATGTACCTGCTCACCTGGATGGACTGGACAGAGATGCCAGCAAGGTAAGTTATTTTGGCATGATAGTTTTCTTTACTCAACATTATGGATTATTTTGATCAGTTCATTACCTATCATATGTCATATCTAATATTAAAATTTGATAACACAGACATGGATGAGTGTGCCACAAAACCATGTGAACATGGGACCTGTGTGAACAAAGATGGCGGATACACCTGTACCTGCCCACCTGGATGGACTGGGCAGAACTGTCAGAAAGGTGAGTTCTCTGTTGATCTGTATTTAGATAAAAAAGGTAAAGGCTTTAAATAAAGCCTTTAACTTTATTTTCTTTCTCTTTCTCTTTGTTTCTCTTCCTTCCTTTCTTTCTTTGATTTTTAAAAAAATAGGTTTCAAGTTGATTTTTTTATCTTTTTATCACGTAGACATAAATGAGTGCACCAGCAAACTGTGTCAACATGGAACCTGTGTGAACAAAGATGGTGGATACACATGTACCTGTTCACCTGGATGGACTGGGCAGAACTGTCAGCAAGGTGAGTTCTCTGTTAATGTTGATCTGTATTTAGTGAGAATAATTGTTTGGATTTTTAATCTAATGAAATAAAGCCTTTACCTTGTTCTTCTTTCCACCTTTATTTCTTCTTTCTCTTTGTTTCTCTTCCTTTCTTTGGGTTTTAAATGTGTTGATTTTTTTATTTCTTTATCACATAGACATTTTATTACTTTATTACACAGACGTAAATGAGTGCACCAGCAAACTGTGTCAACATGGAACCTGTATGAACAAAGATGGTGGGTACAAATGTACCTGCTCACCTGGATGGACTGGACAGAACTGTCAATATGGTGAGTTCTCTATTGATCTGTACAATCATGCATTTAATAAGAATATTTATAATAAGTGTTTGTTTTTTTAGGTAATGAAATAAAGCCTTTACCTTGTTCTTCTTTCCACCTTTATTTTTTCTTTCTCTTTGTTTCTCTTCCTTTCTTTGGGTTTTAAATATGTTGATTTTTAAATTTTTTTATCACATAGACATTTTATTACTTTATTACACAGACTTAAATGAGTGCACCAGCAAACCATGTCAACATGGACGCTGTCTGAACAAAGATGGTGGATACAAATGTACCTGTTCACCTGGATGGACTGGGCAGAACTGTCAGAAAGGTGTATGAGTTCTCTATTGATCTGTATTTAGTGAGAATAATTGTTTGGACTTTTAATATAATGAAATAAAGCCTTTACCTTGTTCTTCTTTCCACCTTTATTTCTTCTTTCTCTTTATTTCTCTTCCTTTATTTTGGTTTTAAATGTGTTGATTTTTTATTTCTTTATCACATACTAGACATTTTATTTCTTTATTACACAGACATAAATGAGTGCACCAGCAAACCATGTCAACATGGACGCTGTCTGAACCAAGATGGTGGGTACAAATGTACCTGCTCACCAGGATGGACTGGGCAGAACTGTCAGAAAGGTGGGTTCTCTATCTGTTGATCTGTATTAAGTGAGAATAATTATTATAATAAGTGTTTGGATTTTTAAGCTAATGAAATAAAAGCCTTTACTTTTTTCTTCTTTCTACCTTAAGTTTATTTCTTCTTTCTCTTTGTTTCTCTTCCTTTCTTTGGGTTTGAATATGTTGATTTATTTTTATTTCTTTACCACATACTTTATTACACAGACTTAAATGAGTGCACCAGTAAACCGTGTCATCATGGACGCTGTGTGAACAAAGCTGGTGGGTATAGTTGTACCTGTTCACCTGGATGGACTGGACAGAACTGTCAGAAAGGTGAGAATAATCAAGTGTTGTGTTTTTCTGCTAATGAATTAAAGCTTGTACCTGTTTTCTTTCTTTCTTCGTCTTTTTCTTTCTTTCTTTCTTTCTTTCTTTCTTTCTTTCTTTCTTTCTTTCTTTCTTTCTTTCTCTCTCTCTCTCTCTCTCTCTCTCTCTCTCTCTCTCTCTCTCTCTCTCTCTCTCTCTCTCTCTCTCTCTTTCTTTCTTTCTTTCTTTCTTTCTACCTTATTTCTGTTTCATCCGTGTTATTTTTTCTTTCCTTATCACACAGACATCAATGAGTGCACCAGCAAACCATGTAGACATGGCCAATGTGTGAACAAGGATGGCGGATACAAATGTACCTGCTCACCTGGATGGACTGGAAAGAACTGTCAGCAAGGTGAGTTGTTCTGGCGTAGATTTTATGTGATCGTATACATTATTTTCATTGGTTACTTAATACAGTATATCATAATTCTTTCAACTGCGCACTGACATTGACGAGTGCCATGTCAGAAACAAATGTCACCATGGACGCTGTGTGAACAAAGATGGCGGATACATATGTATCTGCTCACGTGGATGGACTGGACAGACATGTCAGCAATTAGGTAATGACCATAATTTGTTGTGACCAATGTAGCTTTAATCAATTAGCTTACGAACATTAACTGTTGGCAAGAACGTTTAGCCCTTTTTGTCATAATGGTTTAACAATGTTTGGTGCTACACCACAGACCAGGGCACAAAATATGAATTCTGTTCTCAATCTGTGGTAAGGTCTGATTCTAAAGCTTGAGTATATGCAGGAAAACATATCACAGGGAAATCATTCACAGTTTAAAATAGATTTTTTTACTAAAGGATAGGATGAGGACTTTCACACATACCATAATAACGTGTTAGCTCATTTTTCACCAGTGAACAAAGATGTCTACAGGCACAAATGTCGGGAAGGGTGGACCCAACGCAACAACCACTGCTACAAGCTCAGTACAGTGGTAGCGGACTGGAACACGGCACACCAATGGTGTAAAAATGAAGGGGCAAATCTCGCTTCTATTCAAAACCTTGCAGAAAACAACATCATCAAAGGCATCATTTCTAATGGTAGATAACATGTTTATTATTAAACAACTAATGACAGAATCTTAGCACGTATGATTTTATGATGGACTCGGGTGCCATGTAAAAGCGCCTCACAGCCTTCAATAATCCTAGTGCAGTCCTATTAGCAGTCATACTTACATGACTGAATGACATATTACAAATGTTACTGGTTTTCAGACTCAGCTATTTATCCCTTTTTAGTACAAAAAAATTTTGTCCTCGAAAAGCTTACTACATTTACATGTGATAGCTTTTGGTAAAAACCTATCCCAATTTATCACCAGTAGATTCAGCATTCTTGAATTTCTTTCTAGTAATTCTGGTGAATTAATGTGGTAATAGGGGTGTTACCGCATTTTACCATAGGGAGATTTCTTGAATCTCCTTCTGGTGACTTAATGGGATTGTAAGGGCGTTGTCCCATTTTTTTTTACCACAAAAAGATAAATTTGTTGTACTTTAGGAAAAGATTGGGTTAAACAAATGAAATGCAATTATTCATTGTAATTATTAACTTTTCTGGACTAGATAAATGGGAGAGATAATCAGGTCTACGTTTTCCTTCTGTTGCATGTAGCCAGGGCAGGGTTTCCAGTCGTCTGGCTAGGACTAAGGGACCTGAATAAATGGAAGTGGACGGATGGATCGCGAGTTTCCTACACCAACTGGGCCCCAAATGAGCCTGAAAGCACCATACCCAGAACAAGGAGGTCACTTGCAACTCTTTGGAATAGATTGACCGGGGCACATAGACCACAGGTGGTTGTGCGTACAGGTGGACGTTGGGGTTCAGATCCGGGGAACTGTGTCGCTGTGTACTACATGGTGTGTGCCCCTGACTTTTTCTCTGTTCACAATGACATCCGTTTTTTATAATTATCTTCTTTCCTTTGTCGGTGTCTTAGTATCGTCTAAAAGTTACAACAACAAAAAAACGCAGTATTAAAATGTGATACCCAACACAGTAGGAAGAAGAGGTGGGTTGAGAAAGAATGTACTGTTCTGAGTCCCATCTTTATACTCAATTATAGTGTGACACTATTTATATAAGTAAATGTTTCATCCTCAGCAACATAACAATATAGATGAACTTTCGCTCGAGGGTAAATTCAAAGTGATGATTGCGTGAGTTTCATTGCGTTGGTAGTTTAACATGTTTAAAGCTAAAACTTTCGATCTAACACAAAAAGTTCTCTCACCTAGAGCTTTTGACCAGTCACTCTGGTCTTCCTCAGTAGACTGACCCAGTGACCCGCTCATGTATGGATATGTTGCTATAGCCTCATAAGTAACAACAAAGAGACAGAAATATGTATAACGGAAGTTGATAAGTTTTTCTTTTTTCTTTTCTTTGAACAGGATGCTCGACGTTCTCCTAACATGCCCTGGAGGAAAAAAGGACAATGGAAGGACGACTTTTGCAACCAGCAGTACCTCTACCTTTGCAAGAGTTAACTATATGCACTATATACAGAGCAAAAGAAACAAACTAAACAACAAAAAGAAAACAGGGATCAGAATTAAAAAGAAAAGAACTCCAGTCTTCATCAAACGCGAAGAAGGCAATGTACAGCAATATCAGTTTCTAGCCCTAGCCCAATAGTATCAATAATGTTACTGTTGTAACAACTGTTACCTATTCACTGTAACAATAGTCCATCTTTTTGCCGAACACTTGTAGAAAGAAAATAGGAAGTGCGCTCGTAAGAGTTTGGTCTTGTGCAAAGTACACAGAATTCCATGTATGAAGCAGGAAGTAATGTAATGTTTATTCAAACGTAGTGGCGTAGACTGGCATTCATACTTATGTTATTTTGTCACTTTTTCTTTCACAAAATGAGAATGAAATTTGAATGTGATCGCCTCTCAGAAAGTCACAATATGAAGGAAATATACACACTCTCTGAATCAGAGAAAACGAGATTATCATTATATAACTTCTTCATGAAGATGTCGTCCTGACTGGTATTGTACACGTCAGTACGTTGGAACGTTTAGTACAGTAGATGGATACCGATAGAAGGTGTTACTGACATTTGGATGTGTCTAAGTGCGACCTCAAATGTTATTTCAACAAGCTCATGACAGACCACAGGGAGGCTTTTCCAAAATCATGACAGTGCCAACAACCCTAGCAACGTCCACCGCCGCCAGTTGAGGTTGAATGATATTAAAGAACAATATTTGTAAGGCAAACATAGTTGTAATTATATATTCTATATGTATTTGTTGTATTTTGAATAAATTATTCAAAATAAAGTATAATACGTTTTCATGCATAAAAACTACAAGTCTTAACATTACTGTTAGTGTCCTGTCTTCTGTATAATGGCATGGTCCAAAAAGTGGTCGGTTATTAGAATAACCGACCACTTTTTGGTTTTGGTCTGATAACTAATGGCAGGTGGAGCCTTCTGATTGGTCAACATCTTCTGGCTATGTGATAATGCGTTTATAGTTTAACAAAGAAATGCAAATTATGATGATTCATTAATAAGTGGTAAGATCACACCGATGTTCAATCTAACTTGATTACTTAATTGAGAAAATGCAAATTATAGTGATTCCTTATCAGGTGGTAAGACCACGCTGCAGCAAAATGAGCAGAGTGTGCAGGACATGGGAGAAGTCGGTGGTTAAAATTCGTCTTTTAATACGAGCTTTGTCCGTTTAAGGAGGTGAGTCGCATTTAACATTGTCCTTTATATTCTCATGACTACTAGCATTTGGGCCGAACTTGTTGAAATGAAGGTAAAACACAGAATGGCGTGAATTTTTGCGCCGGTGGCGATTGCAATAAAGCCGCCGTTCGGGAGCGCTTTTTTCATGTGCGCTTTGAAATAACATGACTATACATTAGATACTTCGTTTTATTACCTTCGCCAAAGAAGGTTATGTTTTCAGAGGCGTTCGTGGGTGGGTGTGTGTCGACACGATAACTTTTAAGAGAAGGCTTTTATAGATTGTCTTCAAATTAGGTATGTGGGTAGGTCTTATGACCTCGAAATGATTAGATTTTGGACCCCCTGGCGGCTTGTTATGGTACTTCAGAAGAATTCTGGTCGGTGTGCAATCTAACTTAATTAGTTAATGGAGAAAATGCAAATTATGACGATTCCTGTTCAGGTGGTAAGACCAGGCCGGTAAGACCACGCCGCAGCAAGATGGCGAGTCACGGTGCTTGGACATGGGAGAAGTCGGTGGTTAAAATTCGTCTTTTAAGACATGCTACGTCCGTTCAAGGAGGTGAGTCGCATTTTACATTGTCCTTTATCATATGTTCTCATGACTACTAGCATTTGGGCCGAACTTGTTAAAATGAAGGTATAACACAGAATGGCGTGAATTTTTGCACCGGTGACAATTGCAATAAAGCCGCCGTTCGGGAGCGCTTTTTTCATGTGCGCTTTGAAATAACATGACTATACATTAGATACGTTCGTTTTATTACCTTCGCCAAAGAAGGTCATGTTTTCAGAGGCGTTCGTGTGTGTGTCTACACAATAACTTTTAAGAGAAGGCTTTTATAGATTGTCTTCAAATTAGGTATGTTGGTAGGTCGAAGTGACCTCGAAATGATTAGATTTTGGACCCACTGGCGGCTTGCTATGGTACTGCAGCAGATTTTCTGGTCGGTGTGCAATCTAACTTAATTAGTTAATATAATGGAGAAAATGCAAATTATGATGATTCCTGTTCAGGTGGTAAGACGGTCTTACCACCTGAACAGACACGCTGCAGCAAGATGGCGAGTCACGGTGCTTGGACATGGGAGAAGTCGGTGGTTAAAATTCGTCTTTTAAGACATGCTACTTCCGTTTAAGGAGGTGAGTCGCATTTTACATTGTCCTTGATGTTCTCGTAACTATTTGGGCCGAACTCGTTGCAATGAAAGGAAGCTATAAAACACAGAATGGCAATTATTTGCACCCGGGTGACGATTCCCTGTGTATAAATCTGCACTTAGTAAAGCCGCCGTTAGGGGCGCTTTTTTCATGTCTGCTTTGAACTACCATTGAAGTACATGTAACATGAGTACTAGTATACATTAGATAGTTACGCTCGTTTTATTACCTTCGCCACGAAGGTTATGTTTTCGGATGCGCCCGTGTGTATGTGTGTGTGTGTGTGTGTGTGTGTGTGTGTGAGCACGATAAATTGACGTTGTAGACAACTGAGGAAGAAGTGACCAGAGTTTGGGCCCCCTAGCAACTTGACCTGGAACTGCGTTTGTTGAAAAATATTTAAAGAAGGATAACTCAAGAACCGGTAGAGGAATCGTCGTGATTTTTGGTCTGTTGGTAGCTTATTAATAAGTGATGCTTGATATAGTTAGATGAGTTATGCAGATAAGGATTTAACTTGCATTATCAATGAGAGAATTGTACAAAACCGCTGCATTCCATGGTAGGACTGGTCAAACCTATGACTGATGTTATTGAGAACAAAAGGATACCAGGATATATCGATTATGTAAATGAAGGCCTGATTTGAATAATGAATGTGAAAATCTCGTAATTTCAATGTGGTAACTGCTGTTAAGTTCATACTTGCAGCATTTGGAAGTTAAATGAAGGTGAACATCATCAAGCATAAATCATTCAAATCAGGACCTTATTTGCATAATCCACGAGGAAATGTTAGAATGATCTGTAATTGTTATACTTAGTAAGTATTTGGCCCGTGATCTTTCTGAATGTGTATTTCTTTTACACCCTAGGCTTGAGATCCTGTTGATATATAGCTGGCATTGTGGGACCTGTCTCCTGTGTGTGTGCTGTGGGATCTACCTGTTTCTGAAGGACCTGTTACCAGTATCTACGAAAGAAGAGAACATCGGACTTAACTGTGAGTTGGCATTTATCTATAAACTCTTTCAAAAACGGGGCCTGCATGCCGCAATGCATAATCAGCTGTTTAGGTTTGCATAATTTGGTACCGTTCTACGTACCGTCATCTATGTGATAAAACGTCCAGCCAGTACAAGTGAACCGTAATACGTGGTTGTAATTGCTTTGCAGCATTCTGCACCTTGCCATTTCAAATTTGCATAATTTGAAGTCGAACAATATGAAATGTAATCTACATGAAACCAACCTGAACAAATGTAAATAGTGGTCGCTGCCTTACAGAATTTAGCACGCAAAGCGCGATCGGGACCTCCCATGCAGACCCTTAAAAATGACAATGAAAGATGTTGGGAAAGGGCTGTTTGCGATCCTCTGATTTTTTCATTTGTACTCCATTGTTCAAACTCAGCTAGGCCCTACATGCTATTTGTTGTCATTTCTGAAAGAGTTCACATTCCTAACTAATATTTAGTTTAAGGATGTTACTAATACATGTATAATCCTTTATTGCAAGTATGACAGTACATTTTCCTATTTCGGAAAGCACTTGTAATGGTTGCCTGTTGTTTCATTCTGTATAGCAATGGGATTCATTTTTAACAGCATTTGTGATCAAACTTGTTTTCCCTGATATCCTCTTCATCATGATCCACATCCACCCTTTTAAAAAACATTTCTATTATAATAATGGATTATTATGTGAAGACTTGAAAGAAAATCTATATGGTGACACGAAACAATCATTAAAAATACAGCAATAATGTTCAGGCAAATAAAAGCATTCAACATTTGGTAATTTAGTAAATTTAAACCAATAACATTCAAAATGGAAAAATGGAGACATTTTATTATAATCATGAATTCTAGCAGTTAATGTTTACTAGTGTACATAAAGTCAAGATTTTGAATTTGTTGGTATCTGACAAAATCGTTTTCTGATCATGATTTTTAAAATAAGACTATGATTTGGAACATATGACAATACAAAATGTAAACTTTTCTTTCAAGGATAGTCCAGAATATAAAATGTTCAAAACAACAACAAACCTAATATTATGATTTTCCCTTTATAAACTCCTTTCTGAAATTGTCCTTTGAGTGAAGAAATGACAATATACATGGTGAAGCAATAATTAAATCTAGAAGAAAAAAATGAAACATTCAGAGAAGAATAATGGAATTTTTATGGACTTTATTACGGTCAAACATGGTTAGAAAATAAGGTGAAACATTGAAAGAGACATTTTTGTGATGATCATGATCAAAGGAAAATAATTTTTTTTGATGAATCATAATATCCACTTCTAACTCGGAGTGCTCTAAATGTCAAAAATATATCATAAACATTGTCATTTTACGTACATTTTACGTGCTATATTTTTCCAGTGCAACATGCTTGCAACAATATTTTTGTGAAAAGCACTCAAAATGCATACAAATCTAGGCTCTGATTTACCTAAAATTATATGTTTGTCTCTGGTTGTCAAATAAGAAATCAAATAGCAAGCAGGATTATTCATCTTAACAAA